CAACATACTCAAAATATCCAAATCAATGAAGTTATTGGTGAAAATGAAAAAAATGTGTCTTTTATTTTATGGAAAAAACTAATCGGATTTTTTTTTTGCTAACCCAATACATTTAGGTATTCGATTAACTTTCACAAAGAATGGAAGGACAGCGATAAATTTTAAAATAATGTAATGGAAGTTACTCCAGTTAAAGGTCAATTAGATATTAAAGTGAAAACCTCACATTCTGTAAAGCCAAGTGAGCGTTGGATACAGTTGATGTAGGAGAATTCAGCCATTCATCCAAAGGGTATTGTAATGCATAGCACTGCATTAGGAGAGACATAGAGGACATGTGGAGGTCTTTAATTGAGTTCTTCCTAGAACTTCTTGAGAAATAAGAATGGAAATATAGTGGATAAAATTGATATTTTGTGGAAGAAACCAGCCTTTCTGTGTATGAGCCATAAGCTAATTAAAATCACTAGGGTATAATTTTATTACAGCTGTAGATTTTATGGCCTGATAAATCGCCCCTGTTCTTCCACAGAGCGTAATTCTAGTAACGGGACAGTGTGTTTTCCTCACGTGGGCCCTTCTTTCCCAGGAATAGCATTGGATAAACATCCTCAAATTCTTAATCATCTTGCTCTTGTGAAAGCCCTCTCCTTGTCCCTGAGGTCATTTCTCATTCTTTCTTAGTTAGAATCACATACCACTCATGCCTCTCTGGGACCACACCCGGGTCACTGGACTGGTTCGCTTCCCGACTCCTGAACCACCTGGGGATGGGTTCCTTCAGCTAATGGCTTCTCCTAACTTAGTGTGCGCTGGGTTCCCCCTAATTTCAGGCCAAGGAAACTTAATCCTCAAGGTTTTCCGGTACCTTGCCATCAATTTCCTGTGCACGTCCCACCTCCCACTGTAATCCATGAATGGTGATCCTGTGACCTTTATCACAGCGGCCACCCTGAAGTAAGTTACTGGCCTACTTCTGTGCCTGCTGTGTCCCCAGGGACCACCGTGTCTTGTTCACCGCATCCCCGGCACCCAGCCCCTCGGGGGCGTAGCTGCGTTAGTGTGCTGGCTGGCCCATGGCCTTCCACTGTGTCTCAGAAGACGCTGAGGCCGTGACCTGCATGTAATAGGAATGAGGACTCGTGGGGAGGATCCTGCTTCCTGAGGAGGCGGGGCTGTCTCCCAGTGGCGCCCGCCCTCTGGGCTCCTCCCCGTCCACCGTGGGCAGGTGAGGACAGCAGAGCAGAGGAGCTGCGTTCACAGGGGCTGAGGACAGCACCAGGAGGTGTCTTAAGGGCAGGGGACTGGCCCAGCCCAGGTAAGCGGGTCTTTGTTAGGAGAGATGCTTGGGCAGAGCTGAAGGACCAGGTGGCAGGAAACTTGTGTCCTGGCTGGACCCGTTTGCATAGGGTAACAGAGAGATTGGCTTAGGGAAGAGCTCCATGAGGTCACCTTATAGAGGGGATTAATTTGTTATTAGTTTGTTCTAAAGATATGATTTTATATTTAGAAACTGTAGGTGCGGAGGAGGGAAGGGCGGTGCTTGAAGCAGTGTAGGCACAGGTGGTTGATGACCAACTTTGGGGGCAGTGGGAGATTGAAGGGGTCGTGCATTATCCGTGGACAGCCTTGGCCGTTGAACACAAGGAAGAAGGGGTGTGCATTGTATTAGTAAAGAAAGGAGCACATAGTCAGGTTCTGAGTGCGAAGAGGCTGCTCAGAGTCATCAGCTAGGTTACACAGGTCGTTAACTATTCCAGTGCTTTGCCCAAAATGCTGTGCTCCCTCTTCCGGCTCCCACCTTTGTTCTTCCAGACCTGCTTGGAAGCCTCCCCGCAGCGCCTCCAGTGGACCGCTGTCAGGCACGAGCCATCCTGAGTTCCGGTGGACTTGCCTGTGTCCTCAGCCAGGCCAGAAGCCCTACGGGTCAGGGAGAGTCATTTTCCTCTAGCATCGCTTCGTGGACGAGGTGTTCGCGTGTGTGTCTGTGGGGTCCATCTTCCTGCTGCTGCCCCCGGAGTGCAGGGAGTAGCCTTTTAATTGATTATCACGTATACTCCTGCCCGCCGGGGGAGCGGCTGTGGCCCGCGAGTCCGCCAGCTGTGGTGTGGAGAGCCCTCTGCTTTCTCGCTCGGGCTTCTGCTGCACAGATGTTTGCAGCACTCAACCCCTGTGGTGCGTCCTAAAGGCGGGAATGTGCGCTTTGATTTCTCCATACAGCCAGTAGGCCCGGCCCGGGTGGGAGAAAGCAGCCCGCGGTCCGGGTATGACTACATCAGAGCCACAGTGGGGGAGGCCGTGCTGGGCGCTCACCCCCGGCACCGTGCGGGATTCCCTGGGGAAGTGCGGTGCGGGGTCCGCATGCTGCCACTCCAGACCATCCGGGGTGGATGGCAATGGAGTTCATTAGGAGGGAAACACTGGTTTTGCTCTTCTTGACGTGCACGGTTTTGCTTGAGAGCGTTTGTGTTAAGGAGGAGTATCATTCCATTTTGGTCAGTGCTCGCAGTTTTTACTTGGTGAGTGACCCTTAGTAAATGCCTTTCTTGGGGGTTGTATTTGAGAGCTAGGAGGAAGGCATTTTGACATAGGCAAGATTCCTCAGTTTCCAGGCTCCTCCTTTGAGTAAATTTAAGGCATGTGAATCAATGAAGATGTGTAATCAGCGCCTTTTTTCTGGTTTGTAGTAGGGAAGTTACGGGCTTTCTCAGCCTCTCGCCCCCTCCCCACAGCTCGCACGCCCTCTTGCTGTGTTCTGTGGCATCGCAGCCTTACTCTAAGGAACTCCTCTTTTGGTAGCACTTGGGGTTTTTTTGGGTTTTTTTTGTTTTTTAAAAACCTGTAGCGCAGGCCCTGGGAGCTGCAGCCCTTGGAAGGAGTGCTCCTGTTGCTCCGTTTCCCCCTTGCACTCCCTCCTGTTGGGTCCTGGAGGGAGCAGGGCAGCCTCCCTGGGGAGGTTGGAGGACAATCACTGTGGCAGTGGGTGCACAGGGCGAGGGGTGACCTGGCCAGGAAGAGCACTGCTGGTGGGAGTGAGCCCCAGGTGCGGGTGGGCCGCAGACGGCTTTGCCTGCGGGGAGCCTGCCCCAGGCCGAGGTGTAGGAAGCTGGTGTTACTTATGTTAGGCTCACGCCCTGTATGATCAGGGCCCTGAAGATACATCAAGGTGATCAATAACTGAAGCTTGTAAAAGCTTTTTTGGATTTATTTGGAGAGCTGCCCTGTGCGAAGATTCCCGTGAGCCTGACTTTCTGGGTGCACGGGGGTGGGGGTAGGGGGCGGGGGGGCTGATTTAGGACTGAGACCTGCCCCACAGGGTGAAACCCCAGCCTTTACACAGCTCCTGGCCCAGGTTAGAACTCATGTTCTGACTCTGTAAGGTCTTTTAATGTTGTTCTGAAGAGGCGATTGGCAAACAGTCGACATGGTGTCTCCTGAAGAAAACAGAAGAGATAGGAATCAGAGATTAGGGACTGGGTGTCAGTGAGTCACATAGGTCTGTTTGCAGGTGGGAACAGATTGTGTTGTGTGATGAGTTTTTCTGCTTGTTTTACAGGTCTGTTTGTCTCAATTTTATTATTTTTATTTCCATTTTAGAGAGAGGGGAAGGGAGGGAGAAAGGGAGGGAGAGAAACATCGATGTGAGAGAGACCACCTATTGTTGCCTCTCCTATGCGTTCTGTCAGGGACCAAACCCTCAGCCCAAGCATGTGCCCCGATGGGAGTGGAACCGGTGACCTTGAGGTTTGAGGGACGATGCCTGACCAACGGAGCCATGCCCGCTGGGGCTTTACAAGGCCGTTCAGAGTGGAGCTTTGGCTTTTTACCTTGTGTCTTGCTCGAGCACGGTGGCTTTCCACACTGTCCAGGGCCGCACTCCTGTACACACCACGTTCTGATGCTGTGATTCCCGGTGATGGGGGTTGGGTGCCTTCTTCTGAGGGGCTGGGTGCCTTCTTCTGAGGGGCTGGGTGGGTCCTTTTGACCGGGAAAAGCCCTCCTCCCTTCCTTCAAATCATTGATCCGCAGTAAGATCAGGGCCCTGAAGATAGGTCAAGGTGATCGATAGCCGAAGCTTGGAAAAGCTTCCTTGGATTTGTCTGGAGAGCTGCCCTGTGCGAAGATTCCCCTGAGTCTAACTTTCTAAGTTCACAGCCCGGCCATTCAGTCCCCATCCTCCGCCCGCTGCCTAAGTGCAGCCTTCCTCGTGCTGGGCCGCTGGAGGCCTGTCACCACCAGCCGCCTCGCGGGAGCTGGCAAGGTGCGCCGGCGTCTGGGCCGCCCATTTCCTGCCGCGCTGCAAGGTCGGGCTCCTGGGAGGAGCTGGGGCGAAGCGCAGGGAACGTGCATTTAGATTAGGAGCGCGCGTTTAGATGAGGAGTGCCCGGCCCCCGGAGTGACCTTTTTTTTCTGGCAGCCGTTTCCTGCCGAGGCCAGGGGAGGGGCGTGTGTCAGAACCCTGTGCAGCCCGGCCCCTCCCTGCGCCGGCCGCGCCGGCTGGGGGCTGACGGGGGCTGCGGGAGGCCTGCGCAGTCCTGCCAGCCCACCGGTCTGGGTCCTAGAATCTAGGTTATTCGGCTCTTAGGACTGTCCAGTAAAATTTGCCTGAGAAGCATAATTATGCACCGTGCAGTGTAAATACTCACACACTCGGGCACCGTTCCCCCCTCATAAAATAGGAGCCTGTCTGTGGAGGAAGGGCTGTGTCCCGTGTCCTCAGTCGCCGTGGTTTTTCCTGCTAATGGCACAGGAATGAGAGAGGCACCTGGCATCCCTGGGAGACCTACGGATTCTCTGTCCCTCCCCCCCGTGTTTGAACCTGTTCTGTTAATGATTGCACCTAATTATGTATCTTTGGGCTTTTCACTGTTTACCATTCAGTGCTCCTTAAGGCTGGTCGTTTGCTTTTGTGTGCTGTAAATCCTGGGCTGCCACCCGAAGCTCCACTTGATGGTTGTGTCTTATCGTCGTGGGTTAAGTGCTGTCTCATTGCCTTGCAGGCTGCCTGCTGTTTTCCGGGGAGATCATGAAACGAGGTCGCCTTCCCAGCAGCAGCGAGGATTCTGACGACAATGGCAGTAAGTCCTGCTCTGTTCTTGGAGCTGACCAGGGTTTGGGTCAGCGTAGAAGCGAGGTTTTTTAATGTAGCGCTTTAAATAGCCAAGGCCCACTGCCCATCAGGCAGGTCGCTGACGCCCGGGCCTGAAGGAACACGTCTGAGTGTGACACTGCAGGTCTGCCTCCCAAGCTCTGTGGGCGAGCCTGACCGCACGCGGGCCTTCCTTGGCTCCTTGCGCGTCACCTGGAGATGAACGATCAGTTCCGAGCACCACGGTGGGCCTGTTTTTCCTAAATATCACTTATGGCATTTCACAGTTGCTCTTTCTGAGAAGGGAGCTTAATCGAAGCCAGTTAATTATTAACCAGAGCGGCTGGTCCAGAGGGAGGTGGAGGGCTGCCTGGTGTGGTGTGGAAGCACCGAGCCCCGGTTGCCGGTCCACCGCTGCTAGGGCTGTCGCAACGGCTGCGTGCATCGCAGCTCTGCGGCGTCCTCGTGCTTTCACAGCATGGCTGAGAAGCAGAAGTGAGTCGGCTGCCAGGCAGTCAAAATAAATGTCACACAGCGTCTGTGTGTTGAGAAGACAGCAGGCTCCTCGGGGACCGCCCTCCCCCCACCCCCGTCAGATACCAAGGAAATTTTGTGCCTAGCACAGTGCCTGAGCACCAGGTAGCTGGTGCTTTCGCGGCAGACAGAACTCGGGAAACCTGGAGAGAAGGCTTGCTTTGCTGTGTGGTGGCAAAGACATCGATCGGGCCTGCTTTCGAGGAACTCCGTGGTAGCGGAGACTCTGTAGGTGGAGACTCCAGCCCTGGCAGCGAGTCTCAGGGCAGCGAGAGAGGTCTTTGATGCCCCGTGCAAACGGGTGGGTGTGGGCACAGTCCCAGGCGCGGAGCCCGGGAGCCTCGGGCGGAGATGAGAGTTGGGCAGGTCCTGAAGGATCAAGTAGCTTTTAGGCAAACGGGGTTGTTTTAGTTTTCTCGTTCCCAAGTTTTGAGCAGATTAAGAGCTGCAAATTAGAACGCAAGGCTTTGCTGCTGTGGGTGGCGCACTGACAGCCACAGGGAATGTGGGTGGGAGGGGTCCAGAAACGTGAAGGCAGCTCCCACACGGTGTTGCGGTTGGAGCTTCAGTCCAGGGAAGGAGCAGCAGAAAGCAGAATGGGAGGCTGTGGAGGGGGCACCGGTGTTTGGGGGTACGGGGAAGGCAGGGGACACAAACCAGACCGGATCGCAAGCAGGCCAGGGACTGGGACTCCCGGGGCAGGCAGCGGGTTGCTGCTGCCTGGAACGGGGAAGAGGGAATGGGGGAGGGAAAGAGATTCACAGAGTAGGGGCTCCAGAGAGAGGGCTCTCCCTTGATTTCGGGGAGAGCTGTTGAGGGTCTGTGCCCAAGCGCAGGCGTGGAAACCGCTTGTCCACGCCTTCTGCGTGCCTTCTGAGTTGCTGAGTGCCCCTCACTTCTCGGCCCTCACTGCCCGTTCACTCATAGTTGCTTAGGCTTTTCACTGCTTGAGGCAAAATCATTTTTTCCTGCCCCTTGTGCTACCTCAGAGTGTCCTCAGGACTTACAAATGCTCAGAAAATGCTTGCTGCAGCAGTTACACAGTCCCATTCTGCAGCAGTTAGGAGCGGCCTTGCTTCTGGGCTCAGAGTTACGCAGCAGCACCCCTTCCGTGTGCCGACAGTGCCCAGTGAAACGCCGGGAGCCCCTGAGGGTGGCAGTGGGCCCGTGCCCTCTCCGGGGAGAGCCAGGCCAGCCAGGCCAGCCGTGGCTCCCCCGAGTGTCCTCCCAGACTTGGAGCCTCCCCCTGGCTGGGCTCGAGCTGCCCAGTAGAATGGAAATGTTCTCATCCAGTGTAACCGAGGAACTGAATTTTTAAATTTTTATTTAATGTTAAGTAATTAAAGTTTAAATTTAAAAAGCCACGTGTGGCTGGTGGCAACCACATTAGACAGTGTGGTTCTGGGCTGGGACCCGTCTGGTCCTGCTCCGCACCCAGAGGCCCTCATGGCCTGGGGGCTGCCAGCTCAGCTGCCGCGACAGGTGCCACACACGGGGGCTCAACCGACAAGCACTTCCATTCTCGCACTTCCAGAGGCTGGAGGGCCAAGGTAGGGTGTTCACAGGCTTGCTTTCTGTTGAAGGCCTTTCTTCTCGACTTGCACATGGCTGCCTGCTTGCCGTGTCCTCACATGCCCTTCTGGGCACGTGCACCCTGTGTCTGTGGGCCCCAATATTCTCTTCTTATGAGGACACCTGTGACCTTGGATCCAAGTCCCCATTGGACCTCATTTAACTTAATCACCTTTTAAAGGCCTCTCTCCAAATATGTCACATTCTGAGGCACTGGGGGTCTGTCTGGTTTCAACATAGGATTTTGGGGGGACACAATTTAGCCCATAACAGCCATAGTAGACCAAATGCTGCACCTAAACCCCCAAACTCTGGTTAAAAAAGGAGGAAGAAGCACCCGAAGTCCCCGCTAACAGTGTGCCCACCAAAAGTCGCCTTTTGGTGATAGGCCATTTTCTTCCTCCTCCTGACACGCTCCTGTCCGTGTCCATGTCGGGGTGAGGATTCAGGTCAGTATTTAGAGGGTCCTGGGGGGTTAAATACAGAGCTGGTTCCCCGAGCCCAGCCCAGCCGAGCCGCGGACGGGAGGCGGCCGCCCTGGGTCCTGCGGTGGGTTCGCTGGGAAGCACGTGTTGATGCTTCCCAGCCGCGCCGTCTGTCCGGGCCTGTGCTGGGCAGTGACGGTGGACGGTGACCATGATGAGCACCTTGCAGTGCCCGGCCCCCCACCCCCGTCCTGCCGTGGGACACGCCCCCTCCCGCCTTCTCTGGGGGTTTGCGCCGTGGGCCTCCTTTGGCGGGGTCCCGGCAGTCTGGCCGGAAGCCTTTGGCCCCCTCAGCCAGGTCCCCAGAAGCGACCCTGCCCTCAGTCTGCCCGGGCACTCGGAAAGCCCTGCTGGCCTGAAGGGCTGGGTCTGCGGCGGCCGTTCCCCAGCCTGCAGCCCTGACAAAAATTGGGCAGCAGCTCCCAGCCCAGTGCGGAGCCATGTCCAAGTGCGGGAGGGGGCGGCGGGCGGCCTCACGTTCTGGCCGGGTCCAGGGGCCCCAGCGTGGTGCTGACAGTGGGGGGCGGACGGCACCTCTGCGCCCGCGCCAGCCCCAGGGCCGCCAGCCCTCACCCGGCCGCCGCGCGGCTGCCGAAGCCTTTCTCGCGGAGCCCGGGGGGCGGCCCCGCACTTGTCGGTGCAGCGTGGGGCGCGGCGCGCTGCCGCGGTGATCGCTGGGCTCCTGGGACGGGCCCCGCCGGCCTCCGGCGTCCTGCCTCGTTCCCGGGGCGGCCTGGGAGCAGGCCCGTGTTTCCTGCCCAGGGCCCTCGGTCCTGGGGGGTTTCTGCAAACGTGCGGAGAGGGTCCACCAGCTATTTTCAGTATTTCCAAAACCTAAAGGAGATTTTATTTTATCTTTAATAAAGCTGCAGAGGCTAATTAAGACATCAAGTGTTCTTGCTTTTGGCAGGAATTACATATTATTCGTTAACTCAGGCCAATTAACAGCTCTGATCAGCATCCTTACATTTTTTTTCTATAAAAGAAAGACAAGAATTAAATAATAGTATGTAATGAATACTGTTCATTTGGCAGGTTTTTTAAACTTTGGCTAGGAGAAGGGAGCCAAACGTAAGTGGTGTTTTGGTTTCTTGGTCGCTGTAAAATGTGCCTCTCCGAGACCCACAGGGAAGCCTGCCGATACCTCAGAGCTTCTCCTGAAGTTGCAAAGCAAGGTTTCCGTTTCTTGCCGAATGTTCTCTGTCTCAGGGCTGTGTGGATCCCCCTGTGGGAAGCCGGGTGTGGCTGGGGGTCTGGAACTTGCTACGGCCTCGCTGGCTGCCATGTCCAGCCCCGGGCGGGCCCTGACACACTCCCGTCTCACCCAGAGCTGCAGCGGAGCTCAGCTCCACCTCCCGCTGTAATGACCGGACAGAAACGCGCGCCGAGTCCGGGTCAGACTTTCCAGTCCTGCACTGGCTGGTGCCAGTTAGTGGCTGGCAAACACGAAGCTACGTGGGGACAGACCGTGAAGAGACCATCTTTTAGTGGATGGAACCTATGTGCTGCTTTGGCCCCCGCTGTATGTCTAATTGCATTTAATGGTTCCTCTTGCACTTTTGGATAACTTGTGTTTAGTTTCTTATGTTTGGCTGGCTGTGCTTGGTTACCTCCATGCACGTCTTCAGTGGTTCTCTTTTTGCATAAAAGTCACCTCTGCCTCTGCCTCAGTTCTTTTTCCGTTTGACTGCCTTTAATTTGCTCCCTTTCCACATGAGTTGCATTTGGTGACGCACCCATGGGTTCTTGAAATGTGCAAACTTCAAGGTGTGAGTACTTCAGAGTGTATTCTGTACCTGTGTGTCCTGAGGCGCATGGCTGGCTTTGCCCTTTTTCAAACCCAGCTTGTGGCTTGACTTTGACATTGATGGGCAAGGTGTCGTCTTGGGCTCAAGGAGCCACTGGTGCACCAGAGGACCTGGTGCAGGGACTAGCCCCGGTGCCCTTGCCCTGGCCCCAGAGGAGCGCTGGGTGGCTGGGGAGCGCGTGCCGGTCGGTCCCGGTGGGTGTTAGTTTGTGGGAGTGCCCTCGGGCCAGTTCTGTGAATGTGTGTGTCGTGCTTCTGCCCCTTGGAAGCTGGAGGTGAGTTGGACCGCGCCGCTGAGCTGCGCTGGGATGCAGGAGCCGGGGGAGTGGCCGGGCCTTCTCTCCTGCCCTTAAAGCAAGGAGCCAGTCCTGACACCTGCCTTGCGACTTCCCCATGGGCGTTTCCACAGCTCTGCTTTGCTGCCGAGGGCTCGTCTTCCTCTGTGAGCCGTGTATCTTTTCAGTGGGAGGTGGCGATATTCAAGCAGAAGACACTCTTTTTCATTCATTCTTTCCAATATATAATAAGGAATTGTTGTTCCTCAAAGAGCCTAAGAATTTTTAAAGTTGCTTAAATTTGTCACTGGAGTGGACTTAACTTTACATACTAATACCTTGTGTGTGATCAATACAATAATTATAAACATCATTACCAAATTAGAATTCCCAGTTCTTCTGGAAACAAAAAGAAAATAAAACAAAATTTTACTTGTCACATTCTTAATTTAGTCTGCTATTAAATGTTAGCGCTCTGAAGACAAAAACAAAACACAGCCTCCACCCAGTCTGATGTTAGCACGTGGTTTCTCAGAACTAGCAAGTGGCAGGTGCTTTTCTGTTCATAAATCTCTGTCTCCCAGTTCTTTCAGGGTTTTAATATACTCCCATTTCTGGTTTGATTATTTTTTCCCCACCCAACATAACAGGTTTTTTCCAACTAAAAAGGGATGCAAATTATTTTTGTTCGGGTCTCGTTCTGGGGGCTTCGGAGAAGCGTCCAGAAAGCGTGTGGCCTCGGGCAGAGGCCTCGGGCGGGGATGTCAGGCCACTGGCCGAGCCTCTTGCTGTGGCCGCTGTGCATGTGTGGACGTGGGTGTGCTCTGATCAGAAGCTGTGGACCCCCAGTCTGTCTTTACATGTATCATTGCTGTGTTCCTTGAGCTCAAAAATCCTACCTTCTAACAGGCAAAGCAAGAGTGTGGTCCTCATACCTGCCACCTCCAGCCCTGGAGTTACAGGGATGGTCTTTCTTGAGCATGACTATCCTGGACAATGACACTGTATGTTTGTCCACTTTTAAAAAATTTTATTTAGAATCTGCTGTGTGCACAACACTGAGTTAGTTACACTGTATGTTGTCAATAGTCGTCTATGTCTTATGCTCCTGGCACTTGACCCGGTTTTTTGATATGAGCAAGTAGATCAGGAAGGAGAGATCACCAGCAACAGAGACCTGCTGCTGGGTATGGAAGGGTCTGCTGGTCGCATCCCGTGTTCTCACCTGGATGGGCCGCAGAATCCAGGCTTCATGCGGACCACCTGTGGGAAGTGAAACGGAGCGTTTTCTTTCTCTTTGTTGTTGGTGGATGATAGAAAATCATCACTTACCTTCTGCACACCTTAAAAGTGTATACTTTGATACGTTCTGACATGTTTACAGGCATACAGTCATAAAACTCAAGGCAATTCTTTCCTCAACAGTGGATCCACTTTTATACTTCTCAGGGTTTTCTGTGAGTGGAATAATACATTGCGTACCGTCTGTCTGGCCTCCTTCACTTCACACAGCTCTTCAGCACTGTCCGCAGGGCCTGGGCCACAAGCTTGTCCATGGGCTAGTGGCCCACAGGCAGAAGTGTTCCACAGAGCTTGTCTGTTCCACCTGTGGGCGCACGTCCGGGTGGTTTCTGGCTTTTGGCTGAGTCCCATGAAGCTAAGAACATTTCTCACGTCACTGACATGTTAAACTGAACTTTCTCCCCAGCCTCCCTTTCTGCAAAATGGGTTTAATAGGACTAATTTTTACTTTTCTCCTTGCTTACGCATATGGCAATTAAAAGGAAGAGGAATGACTCTTTCTGGGTGGACCAGTGGTTCTCTCGGGTAATAAATAATGCTCTCAGATGCCAGATGTGTGGCGCCTTCGGATCTCTGTTTTTAAAAGCAAATGTGGTGAGACGCCATTTTTCCGGGATGTAGAAGCAGCCCGAGGACTGGTTTCTAAGAGATTGTCACCGCTCAAGTTGCGGTCCATGAGAGCAAAGCTGCAAGCTTCCTGGGGACACGGGAACCTACCCTGCAGGAAGCTGACAGGCTCCAAGGAAAGGCACGGAAGTGCCTGCAGACCGAGGATGAGCAAGCACATGGTTTCTGCCTCAGCTCGGACAGCGTCCGGCTGGAAGGGCTCGCTCCCTCCACCACACATTAGGTTGATTGTAAAGTGTAGCAACGGGGAGTGATTCCTGTTACATTTCTGGCTTTGTTCCTTATCATTTATAGCCTTTCCCATAGTAACTCACAGGAAAGGGCCGTGCCCCTCCGTCCTGACCTTCTGTCCCTCTGCGGACCCCTGGGCAGCATCCGGACTTGCCAGCTTCCTCCCTGGCTGCTGTCAGCCTGGGCTGGCCGGCCGGGGCCTGCAGGACCGAGGCTGCAGGCGGCCTGGGTGGGCGTCCTGTCTGAAGTCCTGAGCTACCTCGTCCCTTCCTCCCAGGCTCCCAGCTCGGCTCCTCTCCTCTTCCCAGTGATGACCAGGTTGAGCACTTCTGGGTTGGGTTCACCCCAGTGTGCCTAGAATATTCTTTGAGTGTAGGAGTGAAACATTCTTGCTCAGTTGGAGTCTAAAGAGACAATTTTTAAAGAAGCATTTTTTAAATGCTTTACTGAGCACGAGAGTACACAGGCCACCTGCAGGAAATCTAACTCTGCGGCCCTATGGCTGCGCGTCGGTTGACCGCGGACAGGCTCCAGGACTGGTGATCGCGGGCCATGCCAGAGGGAAGCTGGGCGATCCGATCCCTTTGGTCTCCGTCATCACAAATCTGATGATAGGCTTACAAGCAGATTCTATTTCTTAGCCTCCCCAGGGCCTTATGGGCGCTTTGATTCTGTGTCCCTTGTCTCTGGAACTGTAGAGATAAGAGCTTCCCGTTAGAGCGACAGGTGATTTTACTGGTGGAATGGCAGTTCCCTCAGGTTTGGGCTTTGGAGGGTTGTTAATTTCTGGGAAGCGGTCAGGAGGCGAGTGGGGGAGAGGGGCATGCTGTACTGCAGGTGGCTGTGAGGGCTGCTTCAGGTTCCTGGTACCGCAGACAGGAAGCCGCTGCCAGGGCCTGAACAGCACATGACAGCGGCGGTGGGAGTGGGGATGGCCTGGGGGTCGGAGGTGTCGCGTCTGGAATCAGTGGGCTCGGCCATCGATGGGATGTATCCCGAGTGAGCGGAGTGCAGGACGGCAGATTCTGGATTTCAGGTAGAAATGGCGGAGATCACCCAAGTGGGGACGAAAGAGGACGGGCTTGGATGAGACGTTGAGTGCTGAGCTGACGCTCTGAGAACTGTGGCGTTGGCCTTGCAGCCCGCGGTGTCCCCGCCCCTGGAGCTGGGGAGGGCGAGTGTGGACGGCGGGCCTGAGCACCTCCTGCTCGAGCGGGTAGGGTCCAGGTGCGGGTGAGCGGAGAAACACGGGACGCGGGGCCCCAGCGTGGGGACACCAGGGATGAGTATCAGCACCAGGAGCCGGGTTGGGGGGAGGCTGCCGCTGGGACGTCCGGCTCCTGGCCTGTCAGGGGCCCCCGGGACGGGGCGCCTCTGGGAGGAGGGCCCTGAGAGGGGCCGGCCGGCGTCTGTTCTCTCAGGGAGGAGCAGAGTGGGCCATGCGTGGTGAGGGTGGCTGGCCTCAGGGCCTGTCTGTGCCATAGGTGTGCGCTTTCCTGTTCGAGGGGACCTGCATGTTTTATGCTTTGTAGAGTCAAAATCTTTGTATTAAAGTTTTGAGGTTAGCCTTAGTTAGGGTTTAGCAAGAATATCTTAGCCCTAAGCAAGTTTACTAGAAACTCAGTGAAATGTTTTTCAGTTTGTATTTGGCACGGGGAGACTTTGACCCTCCTGATTTCAGATGTGCAGGCTGTGGCCGTGTGACTCTGCCCTTCTGGGTGCTGTGTGGGGCGGCCCTGGGTTGGGCGCTGGGCGCGGAGGGGCCTGTCTGTGCATCCGTGCAGCAGCTGGGGCCCAGCGTCCCGGCTTGTCTCATGGGCGGGGGGCGTGCAGGTGAGCCTTGCTGCGTTTGGTTTGAAAACCCCTGCGAACACTCAGTGATTTCCGCACTGCTGACCATCCCACGGATGTTTGTGTCTTTAGGCCTGTCAACCACTTGGTCTCAGAATTCTCGGACCCAGCATAGGAGAAGCTCCTGCTCCAGACCTGAAGACCGGAAGCCCTCCGAGGTAATTTCCCGAGTGCTGGCGTGGCTGCATGCACGCCTGCCACGCGTGTGCATGAGAGTGTGCGACGACACGGGCACCTGATGTCTGTCTGTGGATCTCGGGCAGGTCGTTTAACCTTTCTGTGCCTTAGTTTCCAAGTCTGTAAGATGGAGGTAATTCAGGCGTGCCCCCCAGCACTCTTGTGGGGGGGTTGGGGCGTAATACACAGAGCGGGGGTACCTGCAAAGCATGCAAAGTAGTGCTTAGGAAGTGTTAGCTGTTATTATTGATTGCGTTCTTTGTTTCCTTTTCTGGTGCCTCTTTGCTGGCTCCCAACAACTTTGCCTCTGGCCAGGACACCGGAGGTCCGGCTGCTGCCCGTGCTGCCAACCTCAAGTTACTTTTCACTGTGAATTTGCGGCTTACTTGGCAATAACAGCGTAACTCCGGGAGTTTTGCTTTGGGGATAATGCTTAAGGCCCTGTCCCCTCTTTTGCAATTTGTTTATCATCTTCTATTTCCCCTTCTCCCGTTTTGTTACCCACCTGCCTGTCCGTCGTTTATCCTCTGTCAGTCAATCTACTTGAGATTGTTTTTAGGTGCATTTCTCTGCTAGCCTTTGTGATTAGGGGTTCCTGCCAGACCTGAGGTCTGTTTCCTCTGAACACCTTTGCAGGGCTCTGAGGATTTAAATCATTGAAGACAAGTGTTTTAGTTTATCCTGATTTTCCAGTGAGCAGGAGGGTGTAGGAAGGAGAGTCTGGTTTGGTCCCCCCTGGCGGCAACCTCTCAGACCGCCTCACCCATGGCACTGCTGTCTCCCCCTGAAACGGGGGTGCTGGCGCAGAGTTGGCCTGTAGGAGACGGGTCCCTCCATGAGGACATAGCGCGCGCCCTTTAGAACTGGGGAAGCCTCCCAGGAGACGGCCCCCTCCATTCGCCCCAGGCTCCGTCCAGCTGTGTTGGAACTGCCCCCCGTTCCCCTTAGTTCCCTGTGCTGCCCTCGAGACCCCTGCTGCCTTTCTGACGTTTACATGGTGCTCCTGTGATTTCAGGGCCAGAAGACGGGGCTAGGGGGCCCCTGGAACCAGGCACAGCAGTGAGGTGGGGCTGAGAGCAGCGTGGGCAGTGTGGCCTTCTCCCGATCCATGTTTTGTTCCAGATTTTTCCTAGAATTTCTGTGTTCAGACACCTTTATACCAAAAGGGCTAACGTTGAGCTCTGCGAGGAACTTGGGTGTTCGCGTCCATTTTTAGGCATCTGTGTTGGTGCTTGGCCTGCCCCTGGCCAAGCCTTCAGTGAGGGAGCAGTGGGCTACCTCTCTTCGCTCCCCTCCCCACCCCTCCCCTCTTCGGTTTGAATTTCCTTCTTTGGAAAATGATTTTTTCACTTAAAAGACCTAGTTGGAATTTGTGTTTATTTTATTTTTTTTTAAATTCCATTCTTGACAGCGTGGACCTGTGCCTGTGTTCTGAAGGACCCCTCCTTTGGGGTGGAGGGCACGGCCTGGCTGGGTACCTGCTTGGGGACTCAGTGCTGCAAGGACCCCGACCTTACTCGCAAGCGCTTTGAGGGCGGGTGCGCGCCGGCTCTCAGTGTTCCAGGACCCGGGGGAGCGAGGGGCAGCGTGCTGGGGGAGGGCAGGCGGCAGGCGGCAGGCCCAGACGCTGCTCCCAACTCACTACGGTGAAGTTTATTAAAGTGATCACCAGCCTGAAAAGCGACCAGGAAAAACAAATACAGACCTCTTAGCAGGCACACAATGTGAACTGTGCTCAGCAGCGCAAGAAAGGACTCCCTGTCCCTCTTCAGAAGAGTGAGTTCAGCATCATGACTTGTGTAAACAGGGGGTTACAGATGCAGGCTCGCTCGCTGCCAAGTACTGCTCTCGGCTGGTGCTGGCGCCGGGGTCAGAGCCTCCTTCTGCCGCCCCGAGACGGGCGTGGGCTGGGGAACGAGCCGGCTCCCGCCCCGTCGGGGAGCAGGCGTGCGGGGAGGCCTGTGCTGTGTCCCCTCGGGGCCTGTGACACAGGACTGAGGGGCCGTCTGGGCAGAGAGTGCTCCTGAGTCCTGAGGGTCCATTTTTGCAGGGTGAGAGGGGCAGACCTTGCTGCTTTTTCTCTCCCTCCCTCTCCTGCACGAATGCCGCCTCGCTCATACAGATGGCGCGGGAAAGGGGCGCACGCACTTGGGTGTGGAAGGCCTGCTTCCGGACCGGGTTCCATCGGCGTGTCCCTACGTCTGTCCTGGCCTGCGATTGCCTGGCATGGCCTCCCAGATGCCTCGCCGCCTGCGGGGCGCGGGGCCCGGGGCCTAGGGGGCGGCCGCCTGTGGGCAGACGAGGAGGCCCTGGTGGTGCCGGGTGTGGGCTTGACGTTGCTGCGTGGTTCGTGGAGCTTGGTGTCTCAGATGTCTGCCAAAAGCGCGCTTTTGAGTGAAACACCTGCCCCTGGGGACCTTCACACCCAGGTTTCCGTGGGCCTTGGTGGCTTGAGAGTTCAGGGAAGCCACTTTGCCATCACGGCCGCTGTGTGGAGGGCGTGTGTGAGCCTCAGAGGCCTGGGTGTGGCCGGCTCAGGGTTTGCTGCCGCGGGCCAGGCTGGCCTCTGTTGATCCAGTGACCTTGTTACCCGGCCGCTCCATGGTGACCCTGCAGCTGCCCGCGCTCCGAATGAGAAAGCAAATACCCAGTGGCAGTGACCCTGTCTGTCCCTTCCAGGTGTTTAGGACAGACCTGATCACCGCTATGAAGTTGCACGACTCCTACCAGCTGAACCCGGACGAGTACTACGTGCTGGCAGATCCCTGGAGACAGGAGTGGGAGAAGGGGGTCCAGGTGCCGGTGAGCCCTGGGACCATCCCTCAGCCGGTGGCCAGGTAGGCAGCTCCAGGGAGAGCCAGCTCCCGCCGCCAGGCCTCCGGTCTGACGGCCAGGGGCCCGAGGAGAGCAGCGCTCCCTTGGCTTGTCCACCTGGGTTCCCAGTGGATACAGAGCGGCAGGAGGAACACATTCTGGGTCCAGAGGATAGTGGCTTGGAGGGCTGAGGGCCCCCGCTGCTGACGTCACGGCCGTCTTGGGAAGGTGCTGCTCTCTGAGGAGGGGCCAAATCCCAAGACTCCTGGGGGGTGACTGGCTGGGGTGGGGTTTGGACGCACCCCTCCCCTACACTTGCACCTCTGTCCGCAGTTCTGGTCACATTGCGCAGCAGCTCTGCTGGGGGAGGGTCTGGCCCTGGGGGCACCGGCCAGGGTGGCTTCCTTTGTCCTGCAGTGGTCACTCCCATTGAAGGAGGACAGGTGTGCGGGGGCCAGGTTAGTTGAGGGGGTGGACTTGGCCCACTTCCTGTGGGACTTGGCCTGGATCTACCCACAAACCGCTTTTCCCACGGGGGTCAGGCCCTCAGCGACTCAGCTCCGCGTGGGCAGCAGCCATTCTGCCCTTGTCTCTGTCCAGTGCAGCGCCCTGCATCGCGCCCCTGCTGTGGCCCTGTCGGCCGCCTGCTGTGCGGTCAGCCTTCCCCGCTCCAGCGCCACGTGTGGACGGCACTGACCTCTGGGCCCTCCCCCGCTGTGTCTCTCCAGGCACTTGAGCAGATTGAATTTGATTATTGCCCTTTGGGATCTCTGCAACAATATCCACATAGATTTGTAGGTTTCAGTGACCGACTGGATGGCCTCTGGAGGCTGGACCCCTGGCCTGTGGAGGGGTTTGTCATGGGGCTCAGGGCATGCGCTTGCCTCAGGGTGTGCGCCTGGGACGCGGCACCCACTCGGCAACCCCAAGCCAGGAATCTTTCTCCGATCTGTTCATTTCACTTGGGAGCCCAGCCCAAAAGCAGTCAGTATTAACATAGTCTATAGAAGTTTTGAGCTGAAGTCCGGCTCTTGGTTGAGCAGGGGCAGTAATTGTTGAGTTTATCCATCTTGGTGTCCTGTAGAAAAAAAATCACTCTAGTAACAATAAGAGTGATACCGGACACACACACACACACACACACACACACACACACACACACACACACGTCTTCGCACAGCTTGTCGTCTGTGTTCACGCTGACCACCGACAGGAGCAGATGGCCACGTGGGCGAGTGGGCCCTGGCTCCGGGCCGGGGGACCCCACTGTCCTGCGTGCTGGCGCCCTAGAGCCGGGCGTAGCGACAGCCCCTCTCCAGGTGTTAGGTGGGGCAGGGGGGGCCGGGTAGGCAGCAGCAGGGACCTGTGTCCCTGTCCCTGAGTGTGTGCTGGTAGAGCCCCCACTCGACTCAGGCTCTGGCTCTTAGACGGCCGAGTTGAATCATGCAGGTGACGGGTCTCTCCCCTGGTTCCCCAGCATCTGCTGTGCCTGCGCCTGCCCCTTGGTTTTGTTGAGAACCCAGTGGGCGGGCCTAGTTGGCGGAAAGTGGGTGACGCTGGACACTGCGGCTGGCATGGCAGCGGCCGTCATGGGTGGTGGCCAGGCTGGGGGAAGAAGCTGGGTTGTGAAGACCTGTGGTGTTTTCACTTGCATCTCTTTCCATTTTGGGTGCTTTAAGGACTCCTCCTACTTAGTTTTGTTAGCAGTGACATTCGGGTTTTAAGCCTGTTACCCTTACCCAGGGGATGACCTGGGTTTTGGGTGGAGGTGGGGACTCCCGCGGGGCCTTTGGACCGACGGCCTTTCACGTGGCAGAGGGCATAACTAGGCTGCCTCGTTTCTCATTAACTAGGGTTGTGTCGGAAGAGAAATCACTCATGTTCATCAGGCCCAAGAAATACATCGTCTCCTCGGGCTCCGAGCCCCCTGAGCTGGGCTGCGTGGACGTCCGCGCGCTGGCCGACAGCGTCTGCCGCTACGACCTCAATGACATGGATGCCGCCTGGCTGGAGCTGACCAACGAGGAGTTCAAGGAGATGGGTGAGCGCCCGGGGCCCGCGGCCGTCTGGCTTGCGGTGCGTGGAGGTCTGTGCGGGTGCGCAGGCGAGCAGCAGAAGCGCCCAGGGACGCCGCCGCCATCATAGCTTGCCCACCTCAGAACCTCGGAGTGGTCCTGCTCCAAAGCCGTGTCCTCCTGTCCCTGCGGGTCTCTGTCCTTCTGTGGAGCCCCTCCCAGTCGATGTTCCGCCTGTTGCCATCTCTCCTGTGAGCGACCCCTCTGTACGGAGGTCGGAGCTTCTGTACCTCACTCGCCACGTCTCCTGAGAGACTGGGGTGCCCGGGTGTCACCTCTGTGCACTAAGGGCGCTGAGGGTCACCTGAAGTGTGACGAGCCAGACTGCTGAGGTCTCCTCGGGGCTCAGTGGGGGAGACCAGGAGGGCTGACCAGCGCTTGTCCCGTGGGCCCGGCTGGGCAGCAAGGGCACAGGTGCCCGTCGGCAGCTGGCACCGAGTAGGTCTCCACAAGATAGAGGTTTGTGGTTTATTTCAGATCCCCAAAGGACAGAGATTGCGGTTTCATTTTGTGTTGCTCCCTGAGCCCAGCACGGGGATGGTGCACGCCAGGTGCCTGTTGCTGCGCTGCTGGCCCCTGGGAGCTGGAGGGGGACTGAGGGGGAAGTGGGTGTTTTGATAGACAGCAGGCCTGCCTTGTGGCCCTTTCCTTGAGGCGTCCGTGGCCAGAAGGCTACCAAGCCCGGGCGCTGTTTCACAGAAGCGGCTCTGAGGCTCTCAAAACGCTCTTGAAGGGGAACGCTGTGTCGGCCTTGTGCTGCCCAGTCCTGCTCTGTAGCAGCTTCGCAAAGGCCGGGGGTGTGCCTGCCGGACGAGGCGCCCAGTGTGACATGCAGCAGAGGGCACAGCGGCGACACGGGCGCCTTTTGGGTGATTTGGTGAAGAGTCCCAGGGTAACTCACCCGATTGAAGGCAGTGCCCAGTATGTACGCAGTTGCACCTAACGCTTTTATTGGTCATTTTAATGATAAAAATTAATTAGAGGACCTAAGATTGCATTTTCAAAGCCAGTGGTGCTTTCAGAGCCAGTGGCAGAATTGAGGGGGAGGAGCCAGGCCCGCACAGGCTGCGCCCGTTAGCCGGCCCGCGCCGGTCCTTCGCTTCCGATGCTCCTTGGGATTTGGCCTGCATGGGTCTGACGAACTGTGCCCCTCACCTTAGTCAGTTAGGAGGGTGAGGAGGGATGAGCCAGGTGCCAGCACCCAGTGCTCACAGCGGCATCTGTTTTGAGCATCATTAAAAGCAGCAATTGAGGAAAGATTTCCAAAAACACCCCAACTAGAATCCAGGGTCATGGATTTGAATCCACTCCTGGGGTCGCTTACATACAATGTTGTAATGAAATGGCCTTTGAACAACGTGTTTGGTTAACAGTCTCCATCCCTTTTGGGTTTGTCTTCAGCTTTTCAGCTTCCAACACTGCATCACCTCCTGTGCCTGATGGGAAGCAACAGCCCGGTGCAGTGAGCACTCGTTCTGCCTTTTAGTTGGAACACCCCCGGAAGGGTCTGGGGCCCTCGAGATGGAGGACTTATCCTGTTGCTAATTCATTGTAACCAGTCACTTCCACAGAGCCCTGCTGAGCGCGCCAGGTGGCGCTCGCTGGAACAGGCGTGTTAACCGGGCGGGGGCCTCTGCCCGCAGGGATGCCCGAGCTGGACGAGCACACCATGGAGCGGGTCCTGGAGGAGTTCGAGCAGCGCTGCTACGACAACATGAGTCACGCCATTGAGACGGAGGAGGGCCTGGGCATCGAGTACGATGAGGACGTCGTGTGTGACGTCTGCCAGTCCCCAGATGGCGAGGACGGCAATGAGATGGTGTTCTGTGACAAGTGCAACATTTGCGTGCACCAGGTACGTGGGCTGCCGCCGCTGGGCCCAGGGAGGCCGGGGTCTCCCCCAGAGGGGCCCGTGCTCCCACTGTCCTGCGGGAGATAAGGAAATGTGCCCTGTGGACCACATCTTGCTGTCCCTAAATGCTTCTCCTGTGCTCCAAGTATTTCTCCTTTTACAACCAGAAGACTAGACTCTTTGCGGGACTCTTTTCCCTTCACCCGCAGAGGTCAGGGTAACATAGAAAGAATGTGTGTGCCCCCTGCCCCGCGCCAGCGCCTGTGCTGAGGTGCTAAGACACTGAAAGAACCGCGGTCAGTTCACTGGGTTGGTTCCCCCTGGACGACCATCGCCAAGGGCCAGAACCTGGGCGGTGTGTGGCGGCAGCAGCAGCAGCTCTCTGCAGCTCTGGAGGCTGGATGTGTGCTGCGGTGCTGGCGGCCGGGCAGCCTGCCTCGGCCCTCCCTGCTCCGGCGGCCTGCTGCCGGCTCACGGCTGTCGGAGTCCTGGGCCTGAGGTGCGCACCCTGGCCTCTGCGGTTGTCGGTGGTGTCCTCCCCACGGCGCCTGCCCAGCCGGCGCCTTCTTACAGGGACACCAGTTACGCTGGGTAAGGGGCCAGCCCATTGCAGTGTAGCTTTGTCTTAACTGACCACGTCCATGGCAACCCTGTTTGCACAGAAGGTCACGTGCTGAGGTTTGGGGGTTAGAACTTGAACGTACCTTTCTGGGATACTGTCTTAACCCGTAACCTTGGCTAAGGTGTTGGTATTTAAACTGAGCTGTTGGGAAGAGGAAAGGGATCTCTTCTTCTGGAAACTGCCTTCCTGTCCTCCCTGGCTGAGGCCGGGAGATTTGGTGGTTGCTTGCTCCCTTCTGTGGCCAGGCACATCCTTAGCCTTCAGGAGCAATGGATGCTGGGTGACCGAAAAAGCTTGAGATAGTCTCAGCCCCTCTTCTCTCTTCTATTTATTTTTTTAATGCAGTAATAAAGTAACTCGTATTTCAGTGGGGACGCACGGCCACATGCACTCAGGGCTGAAAAGGCTACCCTGAGCTGCTTTCTTTGAATTCGCCTGTTGATGCTGAGATGTAAAAACCGACTTAGACTTGTATGGAGGTTGCTCAGGCTATCCCCTGGGGAGAAGAGTCCCATTTGTTCTGGCACATTCTCAGGCCGCCATGTTCTTTGTAATAACGCGCCTGCCCTTCGGCCCCTGCGCTGCCCGCAGGCCTGGTCAGCGGTGGTCCTGGCCCAGCCCGTTCTGACCAGCAGGTGTGAGGTCCGCGTCTCTCCCTTGGGTCACGTGGGAGCCTGCCTCACAGCTCTGGATTCTCGGAGTGTCCAGGACGTTCCTTAAGGGCGGTCGGGGATCCCTGGACTGGTTTTGTCGTGTCAAGGTCCTGAGCGATGTGGCGGCTGTGGTTGCTTTTTGTTGCTGGCGCTGTTACCTTGGATGACATTTCAGTTTTATTGTATTACTATTTTACTTTTTCCCCGTGAGAAAAGTTGTTTGGAAAAAAGGGTTCTGTTTGGAAACTGCTCAAACCCCCCCCCCCCCGCCCTGTTTTATCGTTGAGTTACCTGGAGTCGGGGTGCCCCGCTGCGGGTTCGTGGCAGTTGGCCTGGAGTTGGCCTCTCGGCCCCACCCCCTGCCTGATCTTACTCCTCCTGCCACAGCCACCTTGTCTCTTGCTTGACATTTCCTTGTGGTTCATTTTTCTTTGGAGATGTTCTTAATGACTGGACTTTAAGGCATCTTTTATTTAATCTTCTAATTTTGTTTAGACTTGCTATTCCAGTAAAAAAAAAAAAAGTTACCTTTTCAAATGTCTTTCTCCAGAATGCTTGATAGAAACCTTTCACTGTTTGAAACCTTAAGGGTGCCACTTGGCTCTGTTAGGCGCTTCCCCCCGCAAGCCTGTGGTGACAGCCGCCCATCCGTGGCTCCGACGTCGTGCCCTGAGCTCTGGGCTCAGTGTGACTTCACTGAGCTCCGCTCTCGTCCTGTGGTTTCCTCTTTGCGCCCTGGATTCAGATTGCACAGGGCTCTGTTTTTCCTGTCTGGAGAACTGGAGCTATGCTACTGTGTCTCCCGACTTCCTGACTTGTAGTTCATTTGAGGATAAAGTTCTGCAGTTTAGTGTTTTTAGAAGGCTCTAAATGTGCTCCTGGTACCATCATGTTTTGTTCCGTGGCTTACTTAACATTTGCCTTTTCTTTCCCTGAACCATCTTAGCCACATTAGTTGTAAAAACCTTGATTTCTGCAGTTTCTCTGCCCTGTGTAATTGTGCCATCTTGTGCAAAGCAGGCTTTACGTATCAGGTAGAAAGACCACATTCTTTTTGTCCAGAAAGTCTCATTTTTCTGGGCCACGTGGGATGCCGTTAAGAGCATTGGCTCCCCCTGGGGAATGAGAATGTCCCTTTGCTGGGGTTCTTTCCTTTGAGTCTGGTGTACTGGCATCGGGAGACACTCCGTTGCTTTGTGTTTGTTCTCACTTTGACTCCCACCCACAAGAGAGGCGGGCAGACCCGGCTTCTCCCGCTGAGCCCTGGAGGAGGCTCCCGGGTGCACCGCTTGGCTGTCAGGTGTGGGCCGGTGTCTGCCGCCGCTCGGCAGAGCAACCTCTCCCCCCACCGCCTGTCCTCGGGGCGCTTTCGGAACTGCCCGTGGGACCCGGAGCGCACTGGACCACACGTGTCAGACGCCGCTGCTGCTGCACGGAGGCCCCGTGCTTTCTCCTAAGGGACGGGGTCCCCTGTGGGGTGGGCATGGCAGTGCTGCTGGTTTTGCTGCTTGTTCTGTTAAATCCTTCTGGGCGGTTTAAAATGAATAGGTATAATGAGAAAAACGAATCTTCTCTCCTCTCTCTCCTCCGCGGGGGCCGTGCTGCGGCTCTGCAGGCCTGTTACGGAATCCTCAAGGTCCCCGAGGGCAGCTGGCTGTGCCGGACGTGTGCCCTGGGGGTGCAGCCGAAGTGTTTGCTGTGTCCCAAGAAAGGCGGGGCCATGAAGCCCACCCGCAGCGGGACCAAGTGGGTCCACGTCAGCTGTGCCCTTTGGATCCCTGAGGTGGGTGCACGTGGGCCTTCAGGGGGCACGGCCCAGGGGTCCTGGCGTTTGGCTGGGTTGGGGGAGGGGCATTCATAAATGGGCCAGGGTGTAGCTGACAAGGCACAGGACACCTGTGAAGTGACTCCCACTTCCCCCTGATCCTAGACGTCCAGCACACCGCCACCTTGTCACGGGCCTCAGGGGAGGTGTGCGCTGGGAGGGGCTGTGAGTTGAGCGGTGTCGAGACTTCGCTGCCGACGTCCCTCCTGGGCAGCCCTCCCGCGGGGCCGCGCTCTTGGGCAGAGAGCTGCTGCTTCACAGCCACGTCTGTCCCTTGGCCGCATGGTGCCCGTGAGCCATGCGCACGGCGCCGCCGTGGTTAAGACGCCACCACTTTAGGTCACACTTTTGTGATTTTTATTAAAATTCTCCCTTAGCCACAACCTTTTTTAATTTCAGGTCTGGTGTAATTTATTTCAAGTCCCAGACCTTGACTAATTTAATTTGCATGGCTCACTGTGAGAATATCATTTGTGATTCAAATACCAGAGGTCCTTTTTTTTTTTTTTGGTGTGTGCTTTTTGGTGCGTTTTCCTCCTGAGGAGAATAATCTGGAGATGATTTGGGTTGTGGCTTCGGCTTCATGCCTTGGGTCTTGGTGGCGCTGGATCTCGTGGTTTGCCATTAACAGGGAATCCAGTTCAGCAGTCCAGGCTGCATGCGGGCGACTCACTTCATCTTGGTGGTTTTCCACTCTGTAGCAACCTTCTGAATTAGACGAGAATGGTTTTCCTCAGTGAGAGAGACCTTAAAGTCGCTCCTGTTGACTTACTCCATCTTCAGTCCTGATCACACCCCTGTGGCCCAGAGGTGTAGCAGATGGCCTGGTCAGACACTCAGGTGGCAAGTGAGCACTCGCTTGGCCGAGTGCCCTGACTCCAGGACGCACCGAGGGGACGTGCCTGGGGGCTGGGCTCTGGGCTCTCCTGCTGCTGACCCCAGCTGTCCCCTGAGCTGTCCTGTTGCTTAAATTAGGGGCTTGCCTGTCTCGAGAGGCCGAGTGCTCCTTGCGCTGCCAGGTGGGAGGGTGCAGGAAGGGACTGTGTCTCATCATCTCTGCCACACATGCTCCGCCTGCATCTGTCTGCCGGCCTCGGCCATGCCCTCTTGCTCTTTCTTGGGCCTCCAGGTGAGCATCGGCAGCCCCGAGAAGATGGAACCCATCACGAAGGTGTCCCACATCCCCAGCAGTCGGTGGGCCCTGGTGTGCAGCCTCTGCAACGAGAAGTTTGGGGCCTCCATACAGGTACGGCCTGGGTCTAGGGCTCCGTGTCCTTCGCTGTGCAGCCTGGAGCCGCATGTTGGGGACTCTGGGAATTTGAGATTTAGAGATGGGATTAGAATTGAGGAAGCAGGGCGAGGGGCTCGCAGCCCTTTGGAGGTGACGAGGAAGGACTCCGGCGTGGCTCCTGGGTGGGTGTGTCCTGTGTGAGCAGCGTTCCAGCGTGGCCACCAGGGGGCGGCGCAGGCGGTCCAGTTTGTCTCCTCGCTCACTCTCTGCTCCCAGCCTGGACGCCAAGCTGCGGGGAAGAACCTGTCCTGACCCTGGCGGGTCAGTCACCCTCTTATCTACTCAACCTGCTGAGTAGCAGACCCACCTCTGATGGCCCAGTGCGGCTGGTTTCCCAGGTGTGCGCACGGGTGTCCTGTCTCAGGTGCAGCCATGTGACGTCAGCCTGGTGTGCTGATGTTTTTGCATCTGGTCACAGGGGCTCCGTGTGGCACCAGCCAGCTGGAGGGACACATGAGGCGCTGTGCTGAGCATGTCCGGGCGGCTGGTCCTTTACGGCCCCGTGTGTGTGTGTGTGTGTGTGTGTGTGTGTGTGTGTGTACGCACACGCCCACGCCCACGCCCCCGCCCTGCAGCTTGTGTATAAACATTTGCCTGCTTTTCCTCTGTCTGCACAAAGACAAGTGTAGAAAATCTTCAGGGAGATAGAAGTAAGGGGAAAATATAGATGGCATGCTGTCTTTTTTCATATTCTCTAAAACTCTACTTGAGGTGCTACTTTTTGGTCCTCACATCACTGGCATCTCTAGATAGTCAGGACTCCCAGGTCTGCAAATGCTGCCTGTGGCCGACCTTGGCCCCGAAGGGCAGGTAGCAGCTCAGGGCCACGGCCTCCACGGTCTCCCTGTCACATGCACTCCAGGAGCTTGGTCCAACTGCCAGTTGTGTGTGTTAAAGTGACCTCATTTGGCAACACCGGTGTGTATTTGGCTGATAAATACTTCTTTTGCTAAGGTTCCCATTAACTGGTGGTTTTTACATTTTTTTCATTTTATACGCCAAGTAGTTCTGCTTTCTTTGATGATCACTTCCGCTGGGGTTCAGGAATCCAGAATGGAACAAATGCTCAGAGGGCGAGGCATGAGACAGCTGGAGGGATTTGGCTGCAGACCTCGAAAATAGTGTGGATTTTTGAATGTGCATAGAATCTGCCTAAAACTAAACCACGGCAGAAGCCTCTGGCCTGAGAGTTGTGATGGGAGAAAATGGAGGGGAGAATTTTTGAAAGCCTCAGAATAAAAAAAGGCCATGAGGACGTGTGCACGTGCCTGTGCCTGTGCGCGTGCCCGCAGAAGCGCGCGGTGGCAGGCCCAGGGCACCGGGGGCCGTTTCCTCCCCAGTCACCTGGTGTGCTCCTGGGGTCGGGCTCAGCGCCCCCACCCCCCGCGCGGCCCCTGGTCTCCCTGCTGTTCACAAGAGACGGGTGAACGGGATCTTCCTCTTTTGGAGAGAGATGATAAGATGACTTTTTTTGTGGTCGTTGACCTGTTTTTCCCAGAACATTAATCTGAAGGAGAAGAGGCCAAGGAAGGTTGATGATTTTTCATATCTGTGCGGAATGGACTGATTTTTATTAAAGAATTCCTCTCTGAAATGTCTGCAGCTGTGAAGGCTCTGGTTTACGTTTCTGTAACATCTGTTTGCTGAGTCAACCTGAGTCGGAACACCCAAAGGAAGGCCATTTGGCGTCTTTACAAAGCCCTGTGTAAACATTCCGCTGCAGCTCATTCCTCCTGGAGGCCCGAGCGCCTGGGTTAAGTGCAGTTCAGGCCAAAGGCGGGCCGCGCAGTGTCTCGGGCACCGCTCCATCTCCACCTCCCGCCTGGCTGGGTGCTGGGGGAGGGGCGCTCTGTGTCCCGGCGGCGGCGGCCAGGTGTGCCTGTGTGTCCTGCCACTGAAGCCGAGTTCACACATTTCTTGAAATGGAGGTTATTCATAGGTAAAATCACAGATTTCTGTCAGTTCATGTGCTCCAAGTGTTGGTAATGAGGGAACGGTAAGGGGAACTGGATTTTCTGTACTTGTAGGGAAGGAGACTTGTAGCGATGGAAGCAATCCTTACTGGCAGTAAGTCACCTCTTAAATCCCGAGGCTGCAGGGAAATCCCGAGCTCCAGCCTCTGTTGCTCAGGGTTGTGGGCCCAGGCTCTGCTGAATGAGTTTAATGCAGCTTTTCAGCTGCCCAGGGCTCTGGGTTCTGTGGCCCTGTGGCCCTGGCCAGCTGGGTCACGTGGCCTTACCCAGCACAGTGCTGCTTTGAAGGGACTGGCCTCTGTCACCATGGGGAACCTCTCCCAGGGTTTCACCCAGTGAGATCAGATGGGAGAAGTTAATCACTTGCCTCCTGCCAGGCCGCTGGCCCGCCGTCTTGAGTTCAAGGCACTAAATCATAGCCTGACGAGGCTGCTAGTGGGATGTGGTCCCTCAGGTCAATGACGCCTGGCCTCTGGGTGACCTCATGGCCCACGGGATTGGGTCCCTCCCGGCCCTCTGCCACTCAGTCAGTTCCAGAGCAGCCAGCATCACCAGGTGGGGTGCACGTGGGTCTTAGTGCCGCTGCCGCTGCCCTGGAACTGTGCGGCGAGGCTTCCCAAGAGTGCACAGACCTGTCCTGTCCCTTCCTGGGCTGGCTCTCCTTGTCTCCCGTTCTTTTTGTTTTTGGACATTTTTACTCACCCTCCTTGTCTCGAGGAGCAGCCGCTGTTCCTTGGCCTGTGCTGAGACTGCTGGGCTGGGCTCGGGGATTCGGGTTCCTGTGGAAACCCGGACCGGCCCTCCTTCTCCCGCGGAGGTTCCTGTCATCCCAGCCTTGTCTACAAAGAAAAGAGCTCATGCATAAAGGAAAGGAGGACTTCTGCTTCCGAGTATACTCTGTGCATGAACACATGTTCTTTGAGTATAATGTGAGCACCAGGCCACCTCAGGCCTCATGCGTAGCCACATCTCTATGAGACGCCGTGGGGCCTCAGGCACCTGTCTGAAGGTTTAGGGTATGAACCTTCCACCTGAAGAGCTCCCTCAACTCCCACGCCTTCCCTCACTCAAGACATGGCTGAGTTGGTCTATTGGGGCTCGCCCTGGGGAGCTTGGTCACGGCCCACGCTGGCGGTGCGGCTCTGCGTGCGTGCACGGGGTGCGTGGTGCTGAGGGGCTCACTCACAGTCCCGCGTAACCGTCTTCCTCTTGTTCCCCCGCCCTCCCCAGTGCTCTGTGAAGAACTGCCGCACGGCTTTCCACGTGACCTGTGCTTTTGACCGGGGCCTGGAGATGAAGACCATCTTGGCAGAGAACGATGAAGTCAAGTTCAAGTCCTACTGCCCGAAGCACAGCTCCCACAGGAAAGCCGAGGAGAGCCTTGGGGAGGGGGCCGCTCAGGAGAACGGGGGCCCTGAGTGCCCCGCTCGGAATCCGCTGGAGCCCTTCGCCAGCCTCGAGCAGAATCAGGAGGAGGCACACCGGGTGAGTGTCCGGAAGCAGAAGCTGCAGCAGCTGGAAGATGAGTTCTACACCTTCGTCAACCTGCTGGACGTCGCCAGGGCCCTGCGGCTGCCCGAGGAGGTGGTGGACTTCCTGTACCAGTACTGGAAGTTGAAGAGGAAGGTCAACTTCAACAAGCCCCTGATCACTCCAAAGAAAGACGAAGAGGACAATCTGGCGAAGCGGGAGCAGGATGTCTTGTTTAGGAGGCTGCAGCTGTTCACTCACCTGCGGCAGGACCTGGAGAGGGTAATGATCGACACTGACACCTTGTAGTGACCTAGCGAAGAGGATTGCACAGAGGCCCCGCGTGCCCAGGCCGGGCGCGGTGGCCGCGCATTCACTGTCAGACCCTGTACATACTGCAGCATGAGGTTGTGTCGGTTCAGTATCTTTATGGGCTGGGAAACTCGTACAGACGTGCAAGACCGCCACAGAGTGGGGAGCTTCTCTGTGACTTATTTTTAAATCCTTTCCCGTTAATCCTTACTCTTCTTCTGCAAGATCCAGTGGGGGTATGCCTCCCCCCGCATTCTAGAGCTAGAGGGAACTGAGCCCCAGGAACCTGGCCGAGGGATTGGCCCAGAATTGTTTACACTCGGAGCTAGCAAACAAGAATGGATTTGACGGAGGTGGGGTGGGCGAGGTGGGGAGCAGACCTCTTGTTCAGCCTGGGGAACTTTCACGGGTGCTGCTCGGGGGGCGCCCTGCTGCTGCCTTTGTGCCCCCTCGTCTCCTGGCGGCTGCACAGGGGCGTCCCCAGGGCCGTCACGGAGCAGGGCAGGCTGTGGGTGCTGGTGTGTGGGAGCCTGTCTGTCCACGGGGTCTGGCAGTGAGGTGCTAAGCCATCCCCGAGGCTGTGTATCTATATCGTGTGTGTGCGTGTGTCCGTGTCCACATGTCTGTGGCATGTTCATGTGTGGGTGTGGGGGTCCTCGTCCTGCTCAGCGCACCACTAGTCACACTGCAGCACTGCTGGGGGTCACAGTGGGGGGTTGCCTGGATCCGCTGCCGGCCCTTCCTCCGGCGGTGGCGGCCCTGGGCCTCCCTGGCTCCGCTGCCTTCGGAGCCCCCGGCTAGACTTCTCTTCCTGCCACGGGAATAATGAGGAGTGGGCCGTCTTCCCCCCAGGGCCTCCTCTCCCTGGAGGTGGTTTCTGACTGAGGCTCCCTAATTGGGGATGCACCTTCAAGCACCTTCTCTCAGCGCCCCGACTGATTAAATTCATTAGTGCACAGAAACTGGACCCGGCTTCTGGCCCGATGCAGCGTGTGCTGAACAGCAGCACCCATGCGGCCTGAAAGAGTTCATGCATTGCCCCAAGCACCTAACTTGTTAGTGGGGAGTGGTTCACCTGCCTGGGAGAGACTCTTACTCAGAGATGATTTGTAATTAGAGTGTAGGCAAAGAATAGGGGTACATTAGAGAAGTATTGAACCAAAAGATCCAGATCTCACAGAGACACTTGGACGGCCCTGCCAGCGCCAGCTCGTTGTGACACCCCTTCCCATGATCAGATTAGGGGTTTGGGCGCGGCAGGCGCCGGAGGAGGGCTGCGAGGCTCTCATGCTCCCCCACCCCCCCTGGTGGTGAGTGTGAAGAAGACCTCGCCTCCCCCAACCACATGTATGTGTGGCGTTTTTGTTCAGAGTTGAGAAAGGGATTCAGAAGGATAAACTGGGATCCTGGCGAGAAGCCATACATGACAACCGCTGTACTCGGGTGCATGAGCTGTGGAGTCAGACAGTCCTCAGGAGGGAGGACAAGAAGTCTAATGTTTGGACTGTGTTTGTCTCACAATCACCACAAAATAAAAGTGTAGAAAATGCTTGTGGTGTACTAACTCTTTTCTGTACTTAAGTTACTCAGATTAACACGCACATATAATTAAATTCTGCACATTTTTTTGGAGTCATCACTGTTGCTTTTTCAGTAGAATGATGCCAATTATGTAACGAGAAACAGGGAATAAATCAGGATTTGTGTGTGTGTGGCATTACTTACATTTACTTTAGTAAAGAGCCTAAGAGATTGTAGGGTATTTAGTGTCAGTTTAAAATGGGCTTATTATAATGAAAAATTTGTTTTCCGAAATTTGCCTTGAGGCCTGTGACAGCGGAGGTTTTAAGAGATCAAGGCTTTGCCCTGCCGCGGAGAGCGGCGTGGTTCTTTGTGATTGTAAACAGCGTCAGGCCAAAGGCTACTCAAGGCAGGGTGACAGAACAAAGTCATGAATGAGTGCTTCGTCGTCCCGTTCGAGTCCTGCCGGGGTCACAGCAGCACTCACAGGCACGCAGCATCGGGTACTACCTCAGGCAGGCAGTGCCGCCTGCGGTCAGCCCTCAGTCCGCAACCTGCAGGGGTCGCCCGCGTTAGTGCCAACGACCGGTGACAATAACGGCGATGGCTCTTTCCTGCAGAGAGACACCTGGGCGCCTCCTTGCACACCTGGTACCAGTACTGGCTCAGAACGTTAGGGGACAGGAGTGGATTTCAGGAGGGCCTGGGACCCCACACCTGTAAGAAGACACGTGTGGCGGGGGGGGTCGTGTTGAGTTGCCCAGGCCCTCAGCCCTGCTGTGGTACCCCCCCACCCTGCCCCCGCCTCAAAGGTTGTCTCTAAGAGACACAGTGAACAGTGCAGCAGCTGAGCGCCTGCCCACGTGGACATGCTGCCTCCGCACATCAGGCCAGGCACTTGCGTAGGGGGGTGGCCCAGGGCCTGTCCTCAGTGCCCAGTGGAATGGTCACCTTTGAAAATCTAGTGGAGCTGCAGTTGTCTCTGAACAAAGGGCCCCTTAAACTGTAGTGTGACAAGCAGTGTTTGGGATTCCGGAACACCCCTGGGACCGTTCTCGGATTCCTGAGGGCTGTGTTTCTCAGAGTGGGGTCCCCAAAAAGCAGCACCATTACCTGGGAACTTAATAGAAAAGCAAATTTTGGGCCATACCTCTGATTCCAGAAGCCCTGGGGTTGGGGACCAGCCTTCTGTGTGGGAGGGAAACCCTGCTTCTGATGAACGCCTGGCTCAGGTTGAACATGGCCTGAGAGTGCACCCATGAGTGGGGCTTTTTTTTTGAAATCTTCATCCAAGGAAATGTTTATTGATTTTTTTTTTTTAGAGAAAGAGAAACATCATGAGAGGGAAACCTTGATCGGTTGCCTCGTGTTCCGACCAGAGCTTGAACCCACAACCTTTTGGTGTGCAGTTGGTGCTCCAACTGACTGAGCCACCTACCTGGCCAGGGCATGAGCTGGTTTTGGGGGTACCCCCTCACCGGCTCTGGGGAAAAGGTGAAGCAGGAGAGGGCTTTGGTGGGTGGCATGCAGGAAGGGCCAGGTAGCGCCTACAATCTGGGTGGCGCCCCAGGTCAGAGCCACACACACGGGCTGCTGGGGCATGTTGTCCTGTGAGGGGTGCAGCGTGCACAGGGAGCTACGGCTTGGCGTGCTCACTCTTCTAAATGTGGTCGGCCAGGCCTGGGCCATTCTGGGGCTGATCTGTTCCAAATGAAAAGGAGCCCCAGCCTTGGCTCTTTGGGGTTCCATTTTTCTCTGTAGAGATCATGGGCAATAGAAGTGGGGTTCCCTGGTGAGCAGCCAGAGCAGAAGCCTTTCCTGGGGCAAGTGGATGAAGCCACCAAAATTAAATTCAAAAAGTGAGTGGAGGTCTCTGGCTTCCCTATTTTCTTTTTCTGTGGGTAATTTCAGATGAGAGAGATGTAAGTATCTTTGTTGCACATCCAGCCTGAACAGGAGGTGACCCGTCTACTCGTAGGGATCAGGACTCATTCCCGCTTTTTATTCCCAGAGGTTGGATTCCTCATCTTAATGTAAACATTGTTCTGCTTGTTTTCTCTGTTTTGAATCTGTGATCTCTCTCTCCCCTGGGTGGAACAGTGCTTATCAAAGAGAGTAGCCCGCTAGCCACACGTCTTCAACTGGTCAGGATTTTTACAAAGGACACCTACTTCCTGGCCTGGGCGTCTGAGGCTGTGAGATGAAGCTCCGGCTTTAAGGAGGGAATCTTACGCAGAGGGGAGTGATTGTAAGATACATAAAGGGCTTTTTCAATAAAGAGAAGTGTCAGGAAGATGCTAAGTAGCGAATGGGGGGGCGTCCCTGCTTCTGGCTGGAAATCCCATGTGGCCGTATGTGTGGGAGCCAGTGAGGAGGTAGTGCCTCGTGTCCTCTTGCAAACCAGACTGCCCACCTGGACAGGGGACTTGTTCTGGCCCAGATGGGACTGAGACCCGAGGGGCACTCCTGTGTATATGGCTTGTCATCCTCACTGTAAAGGAAAGGGCTGGTGGTATTCGGACATATTTTTTAAAGAAAACAGTGATTTTTAGAGAGAGGAGGGGAGAGAGAAACATCAGTTTGTTCCTTCACTTATCTATGCATTCATTGGTTGATTCTTGTATGTGCCCCTGACTGGGAATTGAACCCACAACCTTGGCATTTGGGGATGACACTGTGACCCAGTGAGTACCCAGCCAGGGCCTGTTGGACCTCTTGTATTTCAGGGAAGGCAGCAAGGGAAGGGACTGCCAAGAGTAAGGAAAGCGTGGTTTTCAGGAGAGTAGTCGTAACTTTGACGTGGGAGCCGAGCCGAGGTGTGGGGTTTTGTCCACATCTTCCTGCTGGAAGGTTGAATTGTGCATCTGCTATGTTGCGTTGTGACGTGTGTGTTTAGAGTTTACCAGTCTAACCATGTTTACCAATAGGCTTACAACTGAGGGATTGAAGAGGGTTCATTGACAAATCCTTTGAGTTTATATTTTGCATCTGTACTGACTCATCCCAGCTGGCTTTAAAGATGGGGAAAGAATGTTGATCGGTCAGCAGTCTGCTGGTGATGCCCGCGGGTCGCATATCAGAGACAGAGCTGTTAGTACTTGGGTCTGGTCAGTTCCTTATGCATGAGTCAGCACAAGGGCAGCACCCGCTTTTTCAGCAGTGACTCATCTGGACCTGACCTTGCTGTGGCGAATCCACAGCAGAGCGGGGATGTTCCCTGGACATCACGTTCTGTGAGCACCGGCTGCCTATTAGCTGCAGGCTGTCCCGTGTCCAGGTGACCAGGATGTTTACTTGGATTCTTGGTGAACATTGGTTTTATTGTGGATCCTATGCAGGGACAAGTTTTTTTGGGGGGGTCCTTCTTCTGATGGCAGTTGACTCTGTATTCACCTAGCTCCATCTTCAGAAGACACTTGATAAAATGCAGCAGAGGTGGCTTTGAGCATCTCTAGAGCCTTTGACCCTACAATTCCTGGGAAGGAGCTCCTGAGGGGCGGTAAGCCCAGTGCTCTGGAGAGAGAGAGCAGGTCTGGGCTTTGCACCAACTGTCTTCTCTTGGCTATGATGAGTCCAAGGCTGGGTGTGGTGGAGGCAGCGGGCCTTTGTGGGGTTCTGTACGTGTCCCCCACAGTCTAATTTGTGCTGTGTTGCTGCCCACAGGGAGGGAGGGGTATGTGCCGAATCCTTATTAGCAGCCCAAAAGACATTAGAGATTGGATAATAAGTTTAAAGTACATTTTGATTTTAGATGTCATGCAAGGCTTTAGTAGGAAATTTTATCTCAGGTAAAGAAAAAAAACAAAACAACACCAAAGTACTGTTAACAATGTATTGCTTACTTAGAATCTTTATTCTCTACATTCTAGGTTCGGAACCTCACTTACATGGTGACCCGCAGGGAAAAGATTAAGCGCTCTGTGTGCAAAGTCCAGGAACAGATATTCAATCTTTACACTAAGCTCTTGGAGCAAGAAAGAGTTTCAGGTACGCATCCAGCCCTCATAGGCCAAACGGTAGGGCAGGGGTTCGGGAGCTAATGCTCTGCTGAGGAAAGAGGAGCTTCTCTAATGTTCTTCTCTCCATCCTGCAGAAGAAGCTAAGGAGCACAGGCTTTCCTATTTAAAGAACATCTGTGAGCATTGTGATAGAGGGGAAAGGGCTAAGAGCTTGGCCTCAGATCTGGGTCGAATCCTTTGTCCTCTGCTCCCAGGCCCAAAACAAGCAAGTCTCAAGTTTTCCAAGTCGCCCCATTTCCTCTTATGTAACTTGAGTATCGCAGCAAAGGCCTGGGAACTGCTGTGAGGCTCAAAGGAAAGAGTAACTTCTATTTCGCAAAGCGCTTGATAAATGTGTGGTATCACGGGGACGCCTGAAAAGATTTGTGGATTATCTGGCCTTGCACCTGCCTGTGACGTATGGTAAACTGATCTTCAGACTCTGAGATGGAGGCAGATGTCTATGTGTAGGTAACAGTCCTTCTCAGTGGACTTTTTTTGGTGTAGGTAGAATTTTGAATCTTTTGGAGATTCAGCACCAAGTACTTAAATGTATTTAGTGCCTTCTGTTTTACATTGCTCTGGGCTAAAAGCAAAGAGAAAAAGAAAGGAAAAACCACCGCAATTACTTAGAGATCAAAATACAAAGCTGGGCATGTGGTGTAACCTCCCTGGGGTTCTGCTGACCCGTGAGAGATTTGGTCCAGAAACAGAGCTGCCTCTCAGCACTAACATTCTGTGGTCATCAGTGCCAGAACGCAGGGGAGCGCGGGCGTTCAGAGAGGGAGAGCTGGGGAGTGTGGCCAGGTAGCAGCATGGGCTTGGGGAACAGGTAGGTCCTTGGGAACCCGTCTCTGCGCCTGTCTGCCCTTTAAAGTTACGCTAGCAGCATCTGAAGTACCTGCATTGTACAGAGTCACAGCTGCCCCGCTTTTCTGCTTTTGTGGCTTTTTGTGGCTGTCGATGATCATGCCACATGGAAGCAACAAAGAAGTTGTTACACCTTATTATGTTGAAATCCAAATTCTGGTTTACCTAAAACTAACCAGATACATGTGGCTAGAGGTGCGGCAGGTCCTCAGATCATGTCGTTTTGTTCAATGTTGTTTCAATATAACATTGATAAGATGCTGTTGGAACTTAGCTCTAGTTTATATCCATTAGCCAGTGGTAAAATTGGATTTGTCGTATGTCGTTTCACTTAAAGTCACAGAACCTGTTGACATGAAGTGAGGACATGCTGTAAAGTGGTCAATGGAACAAAGGAAGAAAGGCCTTTGGAGTATTAAATGACATTCTTAAAGTAATACCTAGTTTCAGTGGCATTAATTTATTAGTAATACTATTTTAGATATTTTTTCCCAAGGGGAAATAATCTATGAATATGTCAAGCTTATATCATTAGCTAGAATTTAGTTGTAAAACTTTTAAAAATAAAATTTTCTAAGTAGGATGTCATAAGTAAAAGCAGTTCAAGCCAGATTCTTTGAAGTGAATGTCGGTCTCTTCGTCGATTATGCGGACGGATTTGAACCCGTGCCTTTGCCTTCATGAGCAAGGCGGCCGGGGGCTGTGATGCTGGAGGCTTTTGGGGCTCTTGCTAAGCTGTCCTGTGGTGAGAAGCTGTAAAGAGCACTTGCTCTGCTGTCTCTTGAGTCGTGGCCCGCGGCCGCTGCAGGCAGCTGTCTGCAGTCCCAGCTGAGGTTCAGGTTTGTCCTGGGGTAAGAGGTGAGATGGAGCCAGGTGAGGTCGGCTTGTGCCGCAGCTGTAAGGTGGCCCTCCCCACAGCAGTCCTGCTGCTGCTTCAGGAAAGGAAAACCAGTGGCCTGGCCTCTGAGGTGAGGGCTCAGCAGGTGTGACGAGCGGAGAGCAGTGCTCCCATTCCCAGGCGCTTTGTGCCTCTTTTTCCAGGTTTAGACGCTCAGGTGTGTTCTTATTCATGCAAGCCCATCTCCTGCCCTGTAAGACAGATGATTCAAGTGAAGCAGCGCACACGCCTCTGGCTTCCATGTGTCACTTGGGCCATGGTGCATGCTCTGCTGTCTCCCTGAGGATGGGCAGGGCCATTCTGCTGGATGAGTGTCCTCTGTGGACATGCCGTCTGTATGGGGTCACGAGTTGGAGACTCTCGGAGACATTGACCCTGAGTCAACTCTAGGTAGAAATCAGAGTCAGAAAATCCCATCCCTCTTTGCTTTGTTTCCCCCCAGTTGGTGAGAGAAAGAGCTATAAGAGTGGTGTGAAGCTCAAACCTAATGCTGGGTTCTTGAGAAAGCAGGTGTCTCTAAACCAGCAGATGATAAAACACCCTGCCCTTTGGTGACAATTCTGTGTTTAGAGCCACTAGCTCTGTTCCCTTTCCATGCTTGTTCCATGTCTGCTCATGGTAGGGTTCTCCACCGGGCTGCGGCCTGAGACTCAGGCAGTACCTGGTTTTCCTGGTGGTTTACACTTCCCGGTAGACAGGGGCGTGAGAACGGGTTTCCTTGGTACTCTGAGGCTCTGGCAGAAGCGTGGTCCTTCTGGTGAACTGCTGGTGTGAGGACCCAGTGTTTTTCAGACCAAGGGTTATGGTTTATTAGTGGGTTGTGAGACAAATATAGTAGCTCATCAGCAGCATTAAAAATAAGTGAGATAGAAAATGTCAGAGTTCATATCAGACGATAAAAACTAACAGAATTTCATGAAAAACGAGCTTTTACTGGGTAATGTGAAATTCAGTTCTTACTGTGATCTGCATGAAATATTTTATTGTTTATTTTTAGAGAGGAAGAGAGGGAGAAAGAGGGTAAGAAACATGGATCTGTTGCCTCTCATACATGCCCTGACCAGGGACCAAACCCACAACCCAGGCGTGTGCCCTGGCTGCCAATCAAACTGGTGACCTTTCGCTCTGTGGGACAATGCCCAACCAACTGAGCCGCACCAATCAGGGCTCCATGAAAAATGTTTGAAAAACATCAATTTAACTCATTCTCATGTTGGTTGACTATTTTAATTCCACAAACAGGTTTTACATATAATAGTAAATTTTTTTTTAACATTTACTATGTCTCAGGGATGATTTTAAACACCTTCCCTTACTCATTTCATATATCTGCACGTATTTATCCCCATCATAGCCGTAGGAGGGCATAGATGGAAAAAACAGAAAAGCTGTAGTCCCTGCCCTGGTCTCCTAGGAGGCTGGGGACAGCCGGTGACAGGCAGGTGCTGCTCTGGCACCAGGTGGGGGGTGCGTCTCACCACTGACCCACTCTGCATGGGTCCCCTTTGAAAATCCAATCAGCTCTTTTGTTGAAGGGAAATACGTTCCTTGAAAAGATGTGATTGCATGAAAGATCCTGTGAACTTCGGCCGTTTTAGAAAATATAGCAGGTATGCAGTTTGAGTGCAGATTCTCAAGGCAGGTGATGGCTTTATTATAAAAATGAGATTTTCACACACTGCGTGGTTGCACGGTGTGCTGCGGAGCAGAGGTGTGCGTTGACGGGCCACACGGAGGGTCTGGAATTGTATCCCTTTGGATTTGCTTCCACCGTAACTCCCTCTCCTTTGTGCTTTTGTGTTCGCAGGTGTGCCTTCTTCCTCCTGCTCCGCCGCCTCCCTGGAGCGCATGCTTCTGTTCAACAGCCCCTCTGTGGGCCCCGACGCCCCCAAGATCGAGGACCTGAAGTGGCACTCTGCGTTCTTCAGGAAGCAGATGGTTCGTTCGCTGAAAAAGCCCCACAAGCGAGAGGCTCCGCCGGGCAGCACGGGGGGCGCAGGCAAGACCACGCTCCGGCAGCCAGACCCGAGCGCGCGGCGCACGGGCTTGGGGCTCCCCGAGAGCCTTCTGGGCTTGGAGAAGAGCTTCGCGGAGGCGCGTGTCCCGTCAGCGCAGCAGAGAAACGGTGCCCTGTTGCCGGAGCCTGGGAACAGGAGAGATCACCGGCTCCACTGCGACCTGGGCAAGGGGGACGTCAAGGACAGACCTTTGAAACAGAGCCACAAGCCCCTCAGGCCCACGGACGCATCCCTGCGGCACCCGGACAGCCCGCGAGCCGCCGCTGCGCCCACAGGGCAGTCGGCGCCGGGCCCAAGGAGGGAGGCGGCGGCCAAGTGCAACGGCTCGCTGCTCCGAGCGACCTACACTCAGACCGCCGTCAAAGTGCCTACGACGCCGGCCAGCCCGGTGAAGAACTGGGGGGGATTCCGGATTCCAAAGAAGGGGGAGCGGCAGCAGCAAGGCGAGGCGCCGGAGGGCGCCTGCCACCAGCACGTGGACTACCCGTACCTGGGCCTGGGTCGCGTGCCCGCGCAGGAGAGGGCCAAGAGCAAGTTGAAAGCCGACAATGAGAATGACGGGTATGCCCCCGATGTGGAAATGAGCGACTCGGAGAGTGAGGCGTCGGAGAAGAAATGCCTGCCAGCCAGCAGCACCATCAGCAGGCGGACAGACATTATCCGGAGAAGCATTTTGGCCTCTTGATGAAGTAGAGCTGGCCCGGGGCTCTGCGTCCTCGTCACTGGGGTGCCGGACGATCCCCAACACGGGGGACAAGCGGAAACCCAGCTCTCCTGAGCCACACAGACATATTTACTTGCAATTCAGATTGAATTTTTTTTTTTTGTCATTTATAAACCGTTGTGAGAAGTGTGTGTTACTTGGAGCTTGTTGAGGAAACACAAGACTAGGTTGTAACTGTAAGACACTGCTAAACTGGAAGCTGAATTAAACACTAAAATGAGAATGAATGAAATAAGTTTTCGAAGAGGGCAAGGATTGCATAAGCTTCGTCAGTTTTTATTGCTCTCTGTATTCTTCCCAAAGCACAAACTCTTGGTTACCTGAAACTACAGAATCAGATATGGTTCTTGAGAAACCCTCACGTACTGTTGAATAGCCCACAACACTTATTTTCTAGGACTGGTGGATCTTGAAGTCATGTTGATACTTTGGCCCACAGGCTGTTTTTGTTGCATATAGTATGTAGTCAGCAGCTGTGAAGCTTCAGGAACTCCAGGGAATTTATGTGTCAATATACTGGATGGGGAGGAGAGAGTTTTTTTTAAAAAAAGGTCATCTCTGGAAGATCTGAAGGGTCAGTGCAGAGCTGCTGCAGCTTGAATCTAGGGTGAAAGGGGCTCAGCCATGTTGCCTGAAGCCTGGGCTGTGTATGTAGGACTGGTGGAGAGAGAAGCCATTAGGGAGTTCTGTGGATGAGAAAGGGCAACTGAGGTCCCATTTTTACCAGTCCTCTTGACTCCCTCTTCCCTAACCATCGCCTTGGGGGCCAGTTTGGGATTTCCCTGGCCATCGGAAGTTCCTGGCCACCTGGCTTCCAACAACACAGTGCTCATTCAAGTTCAAGTGATGAACTTCCAGACTCTGGTGACTCGTACTCCCCAGAGCCGGCCACTAGCTAGTGCATGTGTCAGGGAATCCAGCTTCCAACGTGAACGGATTCCTTAAAAATGAGGAAAAATGAAAAAAAAAAGGAAAAAAGAGAAATAGGTTATATTTTAAAAACAATAGAAAGGCAATAAGTTGCGATAACCTCTTACCATTGACTTAAGTTTATACAGGAAAGAGATTTAAGTGTAATAGGTTTCCTGGAGTCAGTTCTAGGCTCTCGTTCGTAACTTGGACTTTCTAATTGCAAATGGCAATAACTCGTAAGTTATCAGCAATAATAAATTTAGCATTGAATTTGAGTACAACGTTCTGTTTTTGCACTCACTGCAGTGCTTATGTATTAAGACAGTGGGTAGTGTTAAGGTCCTGTTAATTTTCTTTGGATTTCAATGTAGTTGTGCATCAAACTTAAGAGAAGGAAAGTTTAAATAGCAATGAAATTGAGAATTATGGGCACTTGAAACAAGCCCAGCTTCCCCTAAATTACCTGGTAGTTTGTTAATATCAGTATTCAGATTTCTGATTCATTTATACATGTGTTTCCATGTGGCAGGGACATTCTGATACTTAATGAATAATGCTTTGAGTTCCATAGTTAACTTTCAAGTCTTCCAGAGGATTGTCCACAACAAAAAAGGCTTATTGAATTCCATCTTGCTATGCAAGTTTTATCAGATGATCAAATAGTAGATCGGATGCATCCCCATTGTGTGTATGGCATTTTCAAACCAAGTCTTAACTTTTTGAATACATTGTAGTAGCTAATTCAGGGGAGGGGAAAGGATGACCCGGGTTTTTAGATGGACTATTTTTGAGCTATGGGGCTCATTTTGAAAGACTGCTGTCCAGATAAGCTGTTGCTACAAATATTAGAAGTTTCTTATGAATACCAGTTGTCCATTCACTCATAGCCTAATTTAAAAGTCAGATTTTTTGCATATGAGCAAAACCCTTTTGCTGAGTACAGGAGTCCACAAGGTGGACTCTATGTACAGTTATCTTCTGACCACAGCGACAGCTCTGGGTGAGAGTAGAGTAGGTGGAGGGGTAATGTGTCAAGCCATAGAAAGAAAATCAGAATTCTAGGAAGCGAATGACCTCTCACCATTTTAGGAGGTACCAGATTCATTTGCACTATTAGGAATGCTAGTTTTGTGCAAAAATAATGCCTTACCTGTTTTTCCCCCACATTTAGGTTGAAAAGCTTTCAAACGTTCCAAGTTATGCTGAACCAAAAAAAACACAAAAACAACATAAAACAAAAAAATTAAAAAACCCCACATGAAAACAAAACACACAAAAATAAAAAGCCCACAACCCTTTTTTCTGCTTTGAAATGCAAATGGTAGAGCTGAGTTTTTCAGACAGTGGAAGGACAGCTTTGTGAGTTAGTCTCCTGTCCTGCTGGGGACGCTGGACAAGGCCAACACGCAGCAGCCCACTGGATCTATCCACTCGCACTCTCCTAGTGGGGTACCATTTGTTCTTTTCTTTCTTTTTAAGCTTTATCTTTCCTTGTGCATCCTGACCAAGAAATATCTTTGATTATGATCAATGTTTATGTCAATGTAGGCTAGTTAAACTTTTGTAAAGTTGCCTGGAATGTCATTTGTTAGGTTATAAACACAAATCTCAATGAAGGGTTCTATGTGTTGTGTACAAATCTTAATTATTTTGAAATGGACAAACCTGTCATTACATTTGTAATCTTGTACAGAGAATTTTTCACTATGTGCCTAGCTTGGTGTCCATTCAGCGAAAATTGAAAAAAAAAAGGTGCATGAAGAGTTAAAAATCAGAAATTAAACAAAGTATATGTAGAGATAACTATTTTATATGACATGGCCCAATCCTGTATTTATTTCTACCCCTTTTTTGAAAGTATTTATAAAACTAGTTGAGGACAGCTGTATTTTTTTGTTGAACTATTTAGTAGAATTTGTGCCTTTTTGTCTGTATGTGAATAAATGCTGTACATTTTGCAATACATTTTCAGTGTCTTTTGAAGTCTGCTTTTGCTAAATATTTATAGGTTTCCATGACTTGGTCCTGAGTTGGTGTGTGTCAATTGTCCTGCTTTAGATCCTAATGCAAACTGCAGGGCACAGACTAGACGTGGAGACGCCTTCCCTGGACTGCCCCCCCCCAACCCCACCCCCCAGCTCTGAGGCCTGGACACTGGGGGCCTGATTTTTGTCTTCCCCACCTGCAGTTCTCTCCTGAATACAATTTTAGATGTGAAAATTCAACCAGTGTTGAAGCTACTTAGGCTTTAGGGTCAGAGAGGGACAGTTGGGTTTAAAGGCTGAACTATAGTTTACTGGTCGTGTGACCACAGCCAACTTGCCGAACCTTTATTACGTCTCAATTTTCCCTTATGTGAAAGCGGGATGTAAGGTATCATATAAAGTCCACAGGAGGCATTTACTAGATGGTGGGCTATTTTTATGATTAGGTACAAGATATTTCTCCAACATAGTTGACTAATGAGCCTTGTGAGGAGGAAAAAAAAAGATTCCTGAATGACAGGAAGATTGTATTTATAATTAAAATATAATAAAAATTAGAAATTTAAAAGTAGCTTTATTAAATGCATTCGTAGCTACTACCTGCATTGTGCAAAGACACATCCAAGATCAGTGTTCGACATGGGGAGAAGTGGGCTTAGGCCCCAGTTCTAATTCCTAGTTTGGTGCCTGAATCCCTGCTGAAACTGTGTCTACCACTATATGCAGACATTTGCATCTAATGACATGCAGCTTCCTTTGGGACCACAAAACGGATGTGGGTTCTGTATTCTCACTTAGATTAGGATGAGCAGGGGCTGTGACAGGGTAGTGCTACTAACCTCATTTATATTTTTGTAACAATTTGGCCAGAGGTTTTTTGGGTTTTTTTTTTTTTTTACATGAATTGTTCATACATTTGGCTAAAAGCTTGTTTATTTCTCCTTGTTCCTCCTTAGTGACTATTTACTTCCATGTTGCTTGCTCGGAGTAAGACCCCAGAGAGAAATAATCGTGATTCTTCCTAAGGTCTTAAAAGTTGAGTAACCCCGATAGTTCCCGAGGGAAATTAAGTCCCCAGGAGCCTCAGGAAGGGCTTAGCGGCGGCAATTCTGCACTATGTGATGGGGAATGCGGCACCAGGGACTTGTGTTCATGTTTATACCCAGATTACTTAGAAAACATTTTCTACCTTTGAAACATTAGCCATCTGCAGCAAACTTTACAATTAACTTCAAGGTTGCAGTCTTCAATATGATTCCTCTTTAATGCTCACAACTGCAACAGCCGGCGTGTTCTAGTGTGGGGCAGAGCAGAAGGGCTTTGCCTACTAAGAACAAACCTCTCACCTAATTCCTTGGCTTCAGCTGTTCCTGCCGCTGCGGAGTTTGACGGCTGCGCAGTCCAGCCTCTTCCTGGCGGCTCGCCGGGCCTGTCTTGCCTCGGGATGTGCACAGGTGCTGGAAACTTGTGAGCCTGTCCTTATTTTACATCCTGCCTAGGAGAACGTCGCCCAGGCCTGAAACCTGGCAGTCCTGGGTGAGGCCGTTTAACTCCCACAGCCAAATGGTGATCTGGGGCTGGAGACTGCATTTCATAGCCCTTCTGTACTTTTCTCTTAATCCCACTACCACTGACCATGCAGCTCAGGCTTCTTCGTTTTTTGCCGGGGTTGTTGCAGCAGCTTCTTGTTTCCTTGGTGAAGTGAACCCTTGTTCCCCGTTAGCTGCCGCCATGCCGACACTATCTCCATAGTGGTAACGTCTGCAATTCAAACCTGATTTTGTCATTCTGTGCGTGGCCTTCAGGAGAACCTCTAGACTTTTTCAAGATAAGCCTTTACAAAGGGCTTATCAAATGGCAAGCGTCGAGCTATTTGATGTCTATATCTTTGTTTTGATCCTTGCAACATGTGAGGTAGCTAAGTATTCTCTAATTTGCCAATGAGGAAACTGAGGCACAAAAGTGACGTCATTTGCTCAAGGTCAGTAGGCGGTAGAGCTGGGAGTCGATCCGCTGGGCTCCCTACTTCCTCAGAATAGAAAATAGTTCCTGAAAAGTAGTTGGTGTGTTCTTGACCGCGCTGAGGATATTACCGGTGCACTTCAGATGAATGAATTTCTGTAAAGCCAGTAATCTTGGCTTAAAACACGTTAACGTACCAGTTGAACAACTGTGAACATAACTGACAGGTAACGAGTAATAGAGTTGGCTTGTGGTTAGGCCCTGGTTAGGGAGGGTGTGATAAGTTAATGTGGGGTCATCGATGTTTATTATATAGCATACACACATTCACATTTACAGATAAAATATATGCATATATGAACAAAGAATATAGCATTCCTATCAGGAACTCAGTAACGATTATCTCCGTATCCTGGCACATTGCTTGGGAAGTTAAAGAGAATTATTTAAAATCACAGTCTTGATAATGAATTTAGAATTAGGACTAATGTCTAAAGACTTCAAAATTGATGCTATGCAAAACCTTCAAATCAGTATTTTTGTGATATAAGGTATAATAATTGGTTAATTTTTACAAATAAATTCAAGCAATGATTTAGTTGCCAAATTAAATACCATAGACAAAAAAATAATGTGTACTGTCATTCCTAATTAACACTAATGTATCTTGACATCCTCACTACTTCTTGGCTTATATATGGCTGAATTTGAAGTAGTACAATACTTTTGTAATTATGGATTAATTATGGTTATTTTACCCACTAATCTGGCTGATGGTTCTAATTTCAGGATTATTACCAATGAGAAACACTTTCTTCATGAAGCTGATCTGTCTTCCCTGGTGTCCCTTCCCCCACGCAGCAGCCCCCAAAGACACGTTCCTTCTTCCTCACCTGCTGTGGTTCTGGCCCAGACTTACTGTTGGAATTATCTGAGCTTCTTTTCATATCGAATCAAATTATTCTGAGCTTTCTCTTTCATATCAAATGCTTGTGATCATATTTTTGCCTTAGCTAGTTCCAGGTCACAAACTTTGACACAGGAAATCATACAATAGTATATCAACCACTTTACAATTGCTAAACAAAATTTCACATGTATGATTTTTGGCACATATTTAATGGATTGGTGTGTGTGTGTGTGTGTGTGTGTGTGTGAAATTTTCACCACCCATTAAATAAATCTGAAAATCTTCAAAGGAGATACACCACTAAATATTACAGCTTTCTTTGCTTAGGTCTATGCCTATCTTTCCCAAAAGTTACTTAGCCCTTTAGGTTAGGGCCCATTTCTGCACAAGGTTTGAAAAAGCTACTAAATTCCACTGCAAAAAAAAAAAAAAAAAAAGTTCTATGCGATGCACGTTAATATGACAACCAAAAGGGGTTTTTGGGTTAGAGTGAGAGAAAAGGAGGGGGAGAAGGGAAAGGAAAATAAGGACAGCGGGGCTCACAGTTGAGCTTGGGTATAATAAGGTTGATGAACGACAAAGCAGAAGTAGAATTTTTCAAGTCCTACTCGGCGTCTGCATTCCCATCGAGAACACAATCCCTGAACTGAGGGCAGGATGGGTACGGTGGCCACAGGCACGAGTTACGTGTGTCTCGGACGAGCGAGGCGCTTGCGCAGGAGCACGGCTCGCAGCGAGTTCAGCCTCCTGACCCGGCACAATTACATCCCAGGGCCTGCAGGAACCGGGAGGCGAAGACTCAACCCCGTCAGAGCGCGGGAGGCACGTCGCAGCGTGGACCCTGCGCGCTCCAAAGGCGCCCCGATGTGAGCAGGGGGACCTGGCGCTGGGCAGGCCCGGCGTGAAAGCCACAGGCCAGTTTCCCGCTCCGACGCCGGGCCAGCAGTTTAACTCCCAGCACACGGTCGGTCTTCTGAAACTGAGCGAGACTGCCCACCTGGCAGGGCCTCGGGATTGATGTGCTAACACATGCGAAATGCCGCGCCTCGCCGCCTCCTGGAAGGTGCGGGCTCAATGAACGGGTGCCCACAACACAGGTGCGCATGTCGTGGTCGGCTGGGGAATGAGTCTCCACCCGGCTCCCTCCGTTATTTGTAGGAACCTGCCAATCGCTTCTGCCGTTCTCTTTTAGATGAAAGGAGGTGCTAGTCCTCTATATTTAATCTTCACAGATCTATGTGCTAACAATCACATTGTCCTCTGATTTTTTTTTTATTCTTTAAAAAAAAATGAAAATATTGAATGGAAATTTCCATGATGCCATATTGAAGGGCTTAAAGGGTTAAAAAAACAACAACAACAACAAACCCAAACATAAAGGAACAAGAAGTGATTCCTTGGGTGCTACATGATTTACGAAGAAGACATCCATTTGACTTTTTCTTGGACAGGATTACTAGATTAGGTTTGAAATGTATGACAGTTGTGGCATTAATGCATTTTTTGCTAGGCCGCAGGATGGGCCTTTCTCGAGTTTTTGCGACTCAAGAAAACAAAGCTCGGGTGCGTAGGACAAAAACAAGCTGAGAGACTCAGGCCCAGAAGAGCTGTCCCCGCCGGGAGGTGGTGGTGGGCAGGCTTTGAGGCTGATTGTACTCAGATATGCCTAGTTCTCGTCTTTTCACCAAAATATGGGTACCATGTTTATCATATCTATCGATGATATTCACTGTAAATAAAAATTGTTATGAGTGCAAGAAATTCAGCAGTGTAACAAAATAAATCAGAAACGGCCCCTATGCTTATGGGTAACAAACTGGATGATGAAATTAGGAGCTAAAATGATCTCAGCACACTGTAATAATAATATAATGAAATTTAAAAGGGATAAATGACCAGTCTGGCTTCTGGGGCAAAGATAGGGCTTAGCAACAAAACCTTTGGGAAAGATTTAGGATTTGAGTCAACAGTATGCTCAGTATCTGTCCAAATATATAATTATTCAACTTTCAAAAAAATCGACATGATTTTAAGCTGCATTAATGAAAGTGTGGACTCTAGAAGAGTAGTTTTTATTGTTTCT